GAAATTTTTGCCTGACCTATTATTATTTTTTTTAACTTTTTTACTCTTTAAAAAAGTTTTTTACAACCATTTAACAGAAGAGCTTCAATAGCTTCGAACAATGATTTGCATTTTTTTGTTCGTTATCATCACATACGAAAGAGAATCATGTTGATATTTTTTTAATTAATAAATAATTGCGCGGATAATTAGATATTTTTGGCACGTATATTATTGTTATATTATTTTCATTTAACTAAAACTTTTTCCTTATTTTTTAACGACAGTAACGCCTTTTATTTTTAACAAGAGTAAGGCGTTGCTGCGCGAGGCCTTACTCTCGTTAGCAATGAGTAAAAGTTTTGATTGCTCGTGTTTAGGATGGCCTCGCTGCGCGAGGCCTCCCTACCACGAGACCTGGAGCGGCTGCTCTACTCGCGCCACACGAAGGACGGCTCTGGTCGAGATATTACCGATTCTTTAACTCTAAAAAAAGCTACAGATTCAGGCTGTCAAAGTTTCACATCGAGCGTCCACAAAAACGTCTTGGATTCGAACTTATGTGTTTATAAGGAGTTTGTGTTCAGGGCCGTCCCGAGGGTGGGGCGTAGAGGGGTGTCTAGCCCTCCTACGAATTTTATTAGTTGGCAAATTGGATACTGGAGTTGGCAAAATTGGATTTATTGTTGGCAGTCGGCAAATGTTGGAAAACGAGGACATTTTTTTTTTTTACATAAGTTTGTGGGCAAAAATTTTTTTTTGGCTTTGTTCGGCAAAAAATAGACACATCCCCCTCTCTTTAAAACCTTTTCGGGACGGCCCTGTTTATGTTAATCATTTTGGGATCATTTGTGTTGTTGCCGAAGTTATTTCTGCATGAATAAAAGCAGGCTTTAAAGATTATAATCAGAAGGGAGATCAAGTAAGACAATTAATAACCTTTAAATTAATGAATATTTTTTCAGTTCGTACTTTGCTTTATAAGCTTCTTGTTTTCGTTAATTGTAATCGATTAAATAGTTGTTTTTAATATTATCGATGTTGTCAACAAAATAATTATTTTTAATATTTACTTAGTGAAAATTTAAAATGTTTATTTAAAAAATACACTAAAATGCTAAAAATTAAATCACTTGAGTTTAAAGACAAAACATAAAATTCTAATAGAAGAATTAAAGTTCAAATTAAATGATCTTTTTAATATTTCAAAAATTTTGAGCAACTAGTAATGATCTAGAAAAAAATCTAGAAAAAGTTGAAAATAAAAAAACTAAAACTCTTTAAAAACCAGATAAAGAAAGGAAAATATTCATTGAGGAAAAAGTTGATGAGCTTACAGAGCTAGAACTGAAAAGAGGAGACTCAGATTTCTAACAATAGAAAAACAAATACAAAAAATAGATATTTTGTGTTCAAGGAAAACCATGATAATTGTGAATAATAGTTTGCAAATATTTTGCATGTTTCCTTCTATGATAAAGGTTTTACTTGGGCTGTTACAGGGTTGGCGGTTGAAGCAGACCCAACCCGTTTGATTTGGGTCTGGGTTTTATTATCATATACTCAAAAAAGACCAGACCCGTTAGATTTGTTAACCAAATAGGTTGGGTAGGCCTACCCAATCCATTTTGTTAATGGGTCTGACGGGTTTGGCGGGTTTTGGGTCAATAATAACGAGTCTGGGTCTGGGACTTGACCCATTAACAGTCCTAGTTGTAACTCACTTTTACAAAAATTAATTTATAGTTAAGTATAAAAAAGTAGTAGAATCAAGTTAATTTTTTTGTTCTTAAATTGCATCTGGTCCTACATAGAATGTTAAAGGTTTCTATAGTGTGTAGAAATGTGTGTGTTGATGTTAAGATTAAATTTCAATTGAAATGATAGGAAATAAAAGTGATTAAGAATGTGATCACAGGTATTCTACCTAATCACGTTCACGAAATTAACTGTAATCAAAATTTTGGTTTTTTGAATAAATATTTTAAAGTAGGGTAGTTATTGCTCCTAGACTCTTTAATGAATTAACAACAGCACCGTAAAATAAAGCCCGGAAACAACTGTCGAGGCTACAAATTGGTGGATATAATGTTGATTCTAGAGTTTTAAACCGTATTTTAGATGCTACTAAAATTAGTGAAAATAAATTGGTGAATACTAAATTGGTGAAAATAAAAGGCATTTTTCAATTTTGACAAAAGATAAGGAGAATGCAAGAGTAAAAATGAGGAGTATGCAAACAGTAAAAACAGTCAATAAGATATAACAGTAAAAGAATTTTCCACAATAGCCTTAAATATTTTAAAGTATACATACTAACAAAAACATAATAAACGTCGTTTATACTACAAACTATCACCCAATACAGTAAAAGCAATACTCACAAATAAACACAAATTACGCTCTTTCTGGTCATGATTTATTGCAAGCCTAGCCGAACTTAAAAAAAAACAAGAGATTGTTTCTATGAACTGTGGTTTAAACTGCAATGGAGCAATTGGTGAAAGTCATTTAAATAAATTAGCCGAAGAACTCAAAATTACAGGTTAAATCAAAAACATTGAAAAAACCTCAGAAGGAATGTGGTATGCTGTAATAAATACTAAACGCATGCTTAATCATAATGAAATACCAGAGTTTTTAAACTTTGCTATCAAAGATTTTGTAGTTTTTAAACTTTTGCTACCAAAGATTTTGTTGATAGGAGTGCAACTGAGTTGGTGTTTGCTGCAATTGTTACGGTTGCTATCAAATAATCCGCGAGGATGGAGATTGGTATAACCCACTTGGTCTTGTGCTGGAAATGTATTTATTTGCAATGTAATGTTATCAGGAAAAGGAATAAGAATCAATATGGCACCAAAATCCACCGTGGAAAAAAATTCAAACTTGCTTATATCAGCTATAGAACATAGAGTACAAGATCACAATTGTCTTCTCGATTTCTACAAAATCTTTGATAGCAAGTTTATATAAAAAATGTAGAAAATGTGTGGTATTACTAACAGATTGTTACTCCACGAGGTTTGACGTAAGTGTCCTTCATTATTGCCGTGAAAAACTCATTCGTCAATTTGTCGGACAGACACAATAGATCTAACACAATATGTTGGATCAAGTAAATCATAGTTTACACCATTATTGTCATGTGACATTTGATCTTTCTGGGTTTATGGAAATATTAGGAGAGATATGGTCATAGACAATAAAAGAATCTTTAATCAAGGCAGCACAAGTGGTGGGTATCACAGTGTCTAGTCTAAATGTTAACTGAATGAAAAATTTGCAAGCAGCGAGATGTATAGCAACTATTTAGTCTTCTTAGACCCCAAAACGATGCTTTTTACAAAAAGTTCCGATTGTTCCATTCCCTCACAGGTCATCGTTATTATTACAAAAAAAAACAAAAAAACAATTTGAAATTGCATATCGAGTTAGCTACGATCTTACTGAATCTCTATTACCAACTGAAGATGTAAAGGATTTGCTGTCTTATTTATAGGTAACTGCAAAAAACACCTCTAAAAAAAATCATAAAAGTAACTCAGCAACATTGATCAATGGAGGAGAAAAGGTTTTGGAAGTGGTAGCTGAGAAAGAAAATGAGGAAAAACAAAATCAAAAAAAAATGAAGCAGGTGAATAAAAAAAAATTGTGAGATATTAAAAAAGCAATATATTAAATGCAAAGATCGTAGCGAATGTAAAGAAAGGCGTTTTTTATTTGGCTACAAACAGTGCCCTGCTTGCATTACTGTTTTAAAGTCTATTTAAACCGAGCAGTCCTGCAAAATTTACATTATTAAACTAAAAATGATAGAAGCTTCTGAATCGATCACCAGTATCGACTCTTGACAATGGTAGTTGGTAAAACGCGGACTGCGAACCGGTAAAATGCGAACTATTTTACGAACTAAGATATTATATTTTAATGACCACTACAGTTATGAAATTAAAAAAAAATTTTGCTCATCATTTTTTTAATTTAAATTAAATTAATGGAATTTGATATATTTTATTTAAATTAGGTTGTATTTCTTTTATATCAAATATAATTTATGCTTCTGCTTGAAGTCCATAAAATATGGAGCAAAATAAACAATTTAACGGCAAACAGAAAATAAAAAAAACTACATCATTAACATCCAATAGGACCATGGCTTGCAAAAAAGTTCGCATTTTACCGACTACCCTTGGCATTTTTATGAATCTTTCTTTTCCTGATTAAAGTAGTGCTTCATTTGTTAATTTGTAATTTATTTGATTATTTATTCAATAACTCGTAAAATTAAATTTGATAATTAAGATTAGTATTTTAGAAATTTTAGAAAATTAAACCCTAAAAATGTAAGTCACGCTTTTTTGATTAAAACTAAAACAGCGATAAAATTTGAATATTGTTTTTAAGTTGAAGCTGAAGTTCAGTATGTTATTTATAATGAAATAAGGTAATAAAACGTTACCGGTTGACAGAAATAAATTAGTGGTAATTACTATTCCGTCCTTTAAATACGATACTCATTCGATTTGGTTTTAAGATAGAACACCAGTTCAGTTAATTTTTTATTTTGAAAATATCTTTATTGAAGACGAATTGATTCTTATTGATCAAGCTTTAATGTCATTTTATTTATCTATTGTTAGTTCCGGAGTTTGAATTTTAGAATTATAACTTTGTGATCTACTGTGAAACAAATGGGAAAAGTAGTTTTCGATATAGATGAACGTTATGCATATTACGATTTACCATAAAAATTGACTAGCTAATCAGATAGTTAATATGATAATGAAAATGCTTCTTTTCAATCTATTTTTTAAACCTGCTTTGCATTAAATTTTATCATAAAAATTGAATTTTTTTTGTTTAAAGTTATGAATCTATCCTTGTTTTATCAATCATTAATTTAGAAGTAAAATCCAGAAAAATTAAAAGGCGCCGTTCGACGCTTTAAAAAATTTCATAAAACTTGGCTCGCTTATAATGCTCCGAAATAAATAGTATAAATGAAAAAAACAACCGCATCAAGGATGAAAGGTTTATACTCTAAAATAGTTTGTATTTAAATTCTAATAATTTACAAGGTTCTAAATATTCTAAAAAAATAAAATCGTTACCAAAAATATTTAAACGTTGAATAATTTTTCCTTTCAAAAGTCCAAATTGAACAGTAAAAGTATTTGTTCTTATTTTTATATCGACTTTTGACAAGTAAAAAGTTTATATCGAAGCTTGTTTCTAAGGCGTCCTTTATTTCTTTGAAGGTTTGTTCCTTTGAAGGTTATTCCTTTACTTCGGAGTTTTTATGACGTCTTTTTTTTTAGTTTAAAAGACATTTCTTTTTTTTGCAAAAATACGCATTAGTAAAGTTGAGACAATTGCTCAAGCAACTTTGATCTGTTGATTACTTTTTTCATTCGTTTTTCGTAAATATTTCGAGGAATTCTTTTATCTTCTAAAAACAGAGTCATTTAGTTAGACTTATTAGTGCGATAATACTTATTTATATTCTATAATTATTAAAGTTAATAACTAAGAAAAAAAACAATCGTCAACACAGTAAACTTACCAGAAACTTTAGGTAAGCAAACATTTGAGCAATCTTGCGGAGTTGCAAAATTGTTGCTGTTACCAAGACAACCTCCGAATTCAATAGATTTGCATTTAGTCGCCGGCGAATAAGAGTATCGCGTCATCGACGATGAGCAACTATTTATATTCCAAATACGATCACAAATATTACTTTCTTTAGAGTCGCTGCCATCTATAAAATAGAAAAAATAATAATATCAATATAATTTTTTTTTTACTAATATTATATATATATTCTTATATACAGTACATATACAATATATTTATAAATTTATATTTAATGATTTTTATAATATTAATAGTAAAACAATGACTTAAATTAAATATATAATTGATATATAATTTTACTGTCTTAATATTCCTGAATTTATAAATTATTAGGAACACATTTATATTTGCCAAAAAACTAACTGTATATACTATATGATTAATGGTCGTTATTATTAGAACAATGTATTTCAATTTACCGAGGTAAATGGTCGCTCACTTTACTGAGTTTGAAATAACAGTTTTAATTTTACAGTCTAATCTTTTGCCATTTTAGTGGAGAGAAGAAAGTAAAATTGCAGTAAAATTGAAAAAAAAAATCAAATAAAGCAGAGAGTTTTACGATGAACCATTTGACATAAATCACTAGCAGTGCTAGTGGTTAATGTGAAGCGGTTGTCGTGGTAAAAATTAAAACTTACTGCACTTTTTCTTGCACTCATTTCGTGAAAACGTTGTATTTTTCCATGCACACTTTTCTTGAAGTTCTTGCAAATAGCTTTTACAAATTGAGTTTTTTTGCTTGCCGGCTTCAACTTGAGCTTCCATTTGAAGCTCCGCAGTTAAAGTACTAAAGCAAGGACCAGGGTCAACAGGTTGCTCGCAAATTGGATCTAATGATTAAAAACAATATATACATATTACACAAAAAAACACAGAATATTACACACAAAAACACACATAACAAAATTTTTAAAAAAACAAGATATATAAAAACTTTATAATTACTTATATCATCTTTTTTTGTGCTCTCTGGCTTTGTAATTGTTACATCAGTTTCAGCTTTTCCATCTTCACCCAATTTTATTTCAAACACATTTTTTCCATTCAAAAGGTACTCTTCTTGAGAACCTACATCAACTGCTTTGAAAGAGGCAATTGTTTTTGGAGATTTGACAAAAAATGTGCTGACATAGTTGGTTGATAACACAGTAGGTTCACCTATCCCTGATACTTCATATATTTTAACATCTTTATCAGACTTGTTTTTAAAATTTAGTTTTCCATAATGAGTAGGTGAAACTACGTCTTTGTTGCCAGAACCTAAAAAATATATATACAACATAACATTTAAAAATTAAAATAATGAAACAACTATATATACAAAACTAAAAAAACAAAACAGTTAATGGTGTCCAAAAATAGTTATAATTTATTAAACATTAAATACCTGATGGTCTGGTAATAACAACATCAGTGGCATTAATAATAATTAGCTCTGCATGGTTATTTAGCTGAAGTGAGGTAATACCTCCGACAGCTTTAACTACAGATGGAGTAATGACATTTAACTTCCCAGTACCACTGATTGGAAGTTTCAAAGTCTCTTTTCCATTTACATAGATTAATGCTTCTACACCAGCATTATTAATAATAGAAATCGGTACTGTAAAGTTGCTCATTGAAATATAGGATACGTTTTGTGTCATGTTTGCCAAAGAGTTTGGAAAAGCTGTAACTATTTCTTTTTCTAAAGTACTTAAAGCTTTTACTGTGTTATTCATGCTATCTATCATGCTTTGAAAATCTTTTCCAAATGTTGAAATAGCCTCATTTGTTGACATTACGCCAGTACCAATGGCTGCATTTGCTCCATTAGCTGTTAATACTTCAACTCCAATAGGAGCTTCATTATTCTTAGACCAAGATTGTTCTGTTGATTAATTAAAAAAAAATTAACACTATTTAATGTAAACATATCAAATATTAAACAATTGAAAAAAAAAGTCATTAAACACAACATGTCACACTAAATTAATGATCCTTTATTATCTATAAACTCAAATTATAACAAATATATTTTTATAAGTTTATAATCTCAAATCATATAAGACCAAGTATTATAAAACTAACCTGGTTTATTGACAACTAAAGATGGCATAGTATTTGTAAAGATGGTTTCTGAACCAGTTTCAGAGCCTAATGGGTTTACAGAAGCCATATTCATTTTTTCTTTTGCTTTCATTTCCAATTGCGTATTTTGCCATTGCTGACCTTGCTTATGTATAACTACAAACTCTCCTTCAACTGGCAGAGTTTCTTCATTTACAGTTAAAACATTTTCCCCATTCAACAAAAAATTTACTTCTCTTCCATTCTCTTCACCAACTGCTTCAAATGTTAATATACCCATGTGATCCTTATCTACATAATCTACTTTTGCTGTTACATCTTTTGGAACAACAACAACAGGTCCTTCTGCAGGGGTAGTCTGTCTAAATTTAATACTCTTATCAACTTCATTACGAACATGAATTTTAAATGTTTTTGCTGTACCAATGTTTGGTGTGGTTAGAAACTTCATTTGACTTTGCATATCATCTTGCCAAACCTCACCTAAAGGGTACAAAAAGTATACACAACTTTATATTACTATGTATCTATGTATATATACACACACACAAACATAAACATTTATGGGATTATAAATATTATGGGATAGGGATATACACAAACATATCTTAAAACTAATAACACTTATAATAATTCTTATTAGTTTTAAGAAAAATCTTTTTTAAGCTTTCAAATATATTTACACATGCTATGTTTATAACATAATATATTGAAATATATATAAATATATTATATATGAAAATATTTATGTAATATATAATATAAACTAAAAAAAACCTTGTTTGTGTACAACTATCAAAGGAGGAGGAGATTTAGTATTGACTATTAGATTTTGCTCTCCGTTCATGAATCTTGTTGTCATTGGATTAACAGAGTATGCAGAAAGATTTAGATTTTGAATGTGTCCTGGTATCTTTAGATTGACAGTGAGCATTATAGCACCTTTCGGAACTTGTAAATCTTTAAAATTTCCACCTAACTCTGAAATAGTAATGTCGTTATCAACTCTTCGATTCGAAAACACTAACTTCAATGGAATAGTAGGGCTTGAAATTACAGTACTGAGGAATGATGATTGCAATTCATTCCAATTTTGTCCTTAATACAAATATTTTTAAAAATTTAAAATATAAGTTTTTAATGTTTTTTTTTTTAATCAGTTTTAATTTATTAAAAAAAAATTAAAATGAATCAATTAATAAATCTGTATGACTATACCTTTTATTAAAAAATATATATTTACCTAGCTTATGACTGATAATAGGTGTTATTGATACATCACTAGGCTCAACACTAAATTCTACTTGTCCATTTAGCAGAATTTTAGATCGAGAAACCTTTCTCACTCCAACAAACCGATATGCTTTATTTCTTTTATACAAAGACGGAATTGTAAACTGAATCATATCTCCTTTTTGTATGTCCATAGAAATTCCAGTATCTGTAATTTCAGAAAGAGTAATATCTTCCTCTACCATATTGGGAGATACAAACATCTGTCCTGGATAAGATGGAGGTAGCAGATTACCTTCTCTATCAACATATTTACTCCAATCATTGATAGTGTCTGTAAATTATAACAAAATTAGTTATTATATATATATATATATATATATATATATATATATATATATATATATATATATATATATATATATATATATATATATATATATATATATATATATATATATATATGTATATATATATATATATATATATATATATATATATATATATATATATATATAAATAAAATTTAACTAACCTCTGTCATGGATAACTAATTTTGCTATTTCATTATCTGACTTAGGTTCCAAAAAAATACCATCAGTATAATTATTTATAAGGAGTGGTTTTCCACTTCTAGTAATAGCAACATATTTTAAAGGATCAGTACGGCCAAACATGGATTGCCCTCCTTCTAAAATAGCACCATTCAAGATTACCATAGCAATGTTGGTACCAGAAATTTCTTTTAGAATTGCATCTTGTCCAGCAACATTTAATGCAGCAAATGACACTTTTTTACTAAAACCACCCCCAAATGCCAGATCAGATTTCCAATCATGACCTACCAAAAAAAAAAAAAAAATTTTAAAGGTTTTAACAAAAAAATTAGTTCAAATAATTATTTAAAAAAAAAATAACAAAAATAATATATAAATATTATTATATTTATATAAAATAATAAAAACATTGCAACATATTAACCTTCTCTGTGTATTACTAAACCATTTGTTTGCATATTGGGACCTAAAATATATTCCATTTCTCCATTAATGTACAAAAATTCTCCACTTGATGACCGTGCAGTTAACTTTAATGATTTATCTTTATTAAATGTCATTGCCACCTGAGGTCGTGAATCATCACTTTCTGTTGGAAAAGTCATTTTCCATTTACCAGAACTATCCAAAATAGTGATGTTTTCGCCTGCCTTGTTAATGATTATGAACTGTATTTGAGTGGCTAAGTAAAAAATGAATATATATTCAAAATAAAAAAGAGGAGAGAATAAATCCAGATAAATATATAGACACAAAAACAAATAAATTAGAAAAATGATGTAATCAACCCCTGGTTTTTCACACAAAAAAGTAAGAACTCATTATAATAGTGAAACAAAAATTTACTCAATGATGCTGTTTCTGAAGTTATATTGCTAGTTGCTTTGTCTCCAACTTTATTTGCTTCAATAACATTTGGTAAAATTGGAATTACAGGAGATAAGTTTTTTGTGTTTTCAATTGGTGATTTTGATGCTAAATAAATATCTCTTTAAATTAAACAACTTAGATATGCATTAAAAAATATTTTCACACAAACATAATTTATGTAAGTCATACATACATACACATACATACATACATACATAAACTTAAACATATATATGTATGTTGGTATGTTTATACATATAAGCAAAAATAGATAACATACTTTGGTTGTCAAAGAACACAATATCATGAGAAGATAACTTATGTGGTACTAATGGTGTATTATTTTTACTTGCAGTTAAATTTAAGGGAACATCAGTGAGTATAATGGGAATATCCGCAAGTATCAATGGTTTTCTAATATCAGACACAGAAATGTTAGAAAGATCAATGTAGTTTTTTTTACCAATGTTTAAAGGACTCATTTTCTCATTGAATTCGTTGTTGTTATTTTTGATTAGGTTACTAACAGTGTCGGTTTTTACAATCTTTGTTAAGTTCTCCTTATTTTCTGACAGTGAGTCTACAGGAACCTCTGCTACATAAGAGTTGTCACTTTCAATCAAATTCATAGTTTTCTTAGGTAGCTCAACAGTGTTTGTTGACCCTAGTTGGTTTGGAAACTTATTCTGAGGAAATCTATCTAAAACCTCTATACTTTCAGAGGTAACACTCTCACTAAGTATTTCTTGATACATGTCTGGCCTGGAGGAATTTTTTCCAATTTTGAACATATTAGTACTGTTTACCTTAAAGAGGAATTCATTTTTAATTGCATCCAAATTATTTAAATCATTTAAATTGTATTCATTAAAGTAGGACGAGTTAGCTTGATTGACCTCATTTCTCATAAAGTTTGGTAGGGCTTTATATTGGACCGCTTCTAAATTTTTAAAATCATCATGCAACACAGGGGGGATTTTACTGATTTCTGCCTGCTTTAAAACTTCTACACCCAATGATTTATTAAAACTAATGCTACTAATGTTTAATGGCTTGTAAAACTGTTGCTCATTAACATTAACATCATCCCCTGTGATATCAATTTTTTCAAAATCAGTTGGCTCCATTTTTACTTGAACAGCAAGATTGTTAAATCCATTAATAAGTGCACTTTTGTGTCTTGTTTCGACTTGAACAGCAGTAAGTATTATGAATTCAGTACCATTTATAACAAATCCAATTTTGCACACAGTTTTAGGAGGAACAATAATAGGCTGTAAATGATTTACGGCTTCAATCACAATTATCGGTACACTTAAAGTATTGTTTACATTTAGAAGAATTGTATTCATATCACTCTTTATTACATTTGTGGTTGCTTCTTTCTCAACTGCAGATGGCAAACTTGTTATGCAAATTTTTATAAAATTTTCTATGCCAGGAAGCAAGTTAAATGTATACTTATCCTGGCCATTTAATAAAATTTTTTCTTGCTTTTCACTTTGAGCTTTTAAAACTATAGGCCAACTATTTGAAACAGTAAAAGATTCTTGTATGTTTTGATAAGGCTGTATATGAATAGGTTCAATGGATCCAGTAATATCATAGACTTTAATAACTTGGTCTAATTCATTTTTAATGTTTATGAATGCCTTTATTTTTGAAACAGGTTTGCTTTTATGCTTTAAGTTTTGGATTTCAGGTTTCATTCTTTCAATTATGATATGAACAAGGTGGTAAAAATCTGACTGCAAATATACTTCAAACTCTGGTTTTTTGTTTAACAAAACTGGCTCATCTCTATTTCCATAAAGAAACCCACGAAATTTCAGAGGCATATGACTTGCAACAGACAATCCAAATTTAGCTGTGGTATTACTTTGTATGATTACAGGGTTTATTGTGTTTCTTACTTCTACAAGCTCAATTGTTTCAGAAACAGTGTTTTCAAGCCACAACATAATTACAGTATTTATGGTTGGAACAGTAGCATGATACGATGGCCTTTCGTAGTCATATGAGGTGTTTTTTGACTCTAGCATTTTCCCTAGGGCAATATTAGCATGTTTTTCAATTGCAGCCGATGGTTCTGAATAAAAACATAAAAGTATTTTATAAGAAAGAAAAGAGAGGGGATTTTAAGAAAATGCTAGAGTCAAAAAAGCTATTCCCCAAAGAATTATCCAGAGAAATGTAAATAAAGAAGAGAAAGAGAGTTGTAAAACGTTATAATAAAGAAACGTTATAATAAAAAGAACATTAATGTAGCCTGGTTGACCCTGGCATTACTTAAATCCCTTAAAATCAGCTAAAATAATCTTAAATATTATAGACATTATATAAAGAATATGTGTATTGGTTACATTGCATGCCTAGCAGGTTAAATAGAACTAAACATCTGTCACTTAATTGCCTTTGAGTATACCATTTTATTTTATATATATTTAAGCAATTTTTATTTTCTACTTTTGTAAGTGTTGTTTGCAAAAAATAAATTTCAAAGCGTAAAATTCTCATAAAAAATCTTTGTGCATGCAACGAATACCTTTAGTACTATACATACATACATACATACATATATATACAGCCCTCAGAATTAGAGTCACTATTCAGCAATGTTGACCTAACTGCTGACCTAAAAGTGTTTGATGTCAGCAAAAAAGTGCCACACTCATTTCTATGCTTTATGGTAAAACCATAAAACATAGAAACAAGTAAAAAAAATTTTTCAGACCTGATACCAACCTCTAACAGTTTAATGTTGGAAAAAAATTACCGGCTAATTTTTCCTGATTACAAGGAAAATGTATATATGTATATGCTGTATATATATATATATATATATATATATATATATATATATATATATATATATATATATATATATATATATAAATATATATAGAGTAAAAAAATATGTAGTTTTATTTATAAAAAAAAATATATATATATAAATATAAATACAGCTATATATATAAATATATAAACTATATATATATATATATAAGCTATATATAAATACATACACATATATATATATATATATATATATATACATATATATATATATACATATATATATATATATATATATATATATATATATATATATATATATATATATATATATATATATATATATATATATATATATATATATATATACTCTGACTTAATTTCAATCATTTTAATTTATTTAAATTCATCGAGCACTCTCATGAAGACATAAGCAAGCACTAATACATATATATATATATATATATATATATATATATATATATATATATATATATATATATATATATATATATATATATATATATATATATATATACACACACACACTCACACACACTCATGCATGCATGCACAAAACTATTGAATTTTAAAAAACCCTCAAAATTACTTACTATCAGTAATGGTTATTTTTTCAACAACACCACCTTCTTTTAATGAAATGGTATGAATTAGTTCATTGTTAATATAGTATCTATCACCAGTGTCTGCATCAACAACGGTTACATTAACATCATTTTTGCTTGGTGTGGTTATTATAAGTTCTTGGTTTTCATAACCCATAATACGAAATGGTTTCTCTGAAGTAGAGACTTTTAAGTCTACTTTATGATTTACCAAATTTACAACTTCAAGCTTTGCAGTGTTGACTTGTTGAGCTCCAGTAGATGCACCTGTTATATCAACAGCTCCAGTTCCAACCTCAAAAGTCATTTCCAAATGTTTTCCAGGTTCACTTGATAGCCAAACATTAGCAGGAAATCTGTAAACATTGCCCATTGTGTCATTGATTATAATTTTGTCAATATGCCAGTTAGCTGATGGGCCTGTATCGTCAGAACGCAATAAAATTTTTTGAAGATGTCCTAAGTTACCTGCATCAATTTTGAAACTGTCTGTCCTATAATAAAAAATAACAAAACATCAAAGATATCTCAAAGTAACTTTTAAAAAAAAATTAGCAAAGATAATAAAAAAAAAAAAGCTTACTCTCCAGCATTAAATGCATTTTGATCTTTGCCAACAAGCTGGATTTCATTGGTTTGACCAATGACACCATACAGTTTAATAAAAATTCTTGCTGCTGTGCCAGCTTCTGCTCCTTCAGCAGTGTATGTAGTAGCAGTATAAAAAAAATCTAATAACAAAACCAATAATAAATGTACTTAATAAATGTCACAAAATTAATTATGAACAAACTTTATAATAATGAATGGTAACTTGGAATGAGTAGAAAAAATAGTTATTTTTTAATTTTCACAAACCAGATCAAATTTAATTTTCATCAAAATGAATTTAAACTAAACCAAACGCATAAAAAATTTTTTTTTTTTACCAGGATCAGTAACGGTAAGCTCAACAATATAGTTTTCTTCAGGTTGTGGTCGCACTTCTACAGACTTTTTTCCATTTATTAGCAGTTCTTTTGAATTAGATGGATCTACAGACTTTGCAGTAAATTCAAAAGGCTCATTCATAGAAGATTCATCAATTTTCCAAGTTTTACGCATTCCAGGTAACATGTCAATATCTTTCTTAAAGCTTTCATTGGCTGGTTTTGCTGTGACAATAATAGGAACACCAGCAAAATTTTGCATTTTGACTTGGGCTGATACTTTTATACTTGGTTTCAAACCTTGATTTAAGTAAAAAATAATAAAAGTAATGTAATAAAAATACAAACATGCATAGAAATCAATATTAAAAAAAATGGTCTAAAAATTTGGACTAAATAAATATAAGAGAAACTATATATATTAAATTTTAACCTTTTTCTTTAATACATTCCATTTTATCTTTATTAAACATGGTACCAGTTGGACATTTTTTCCGCTGAGCAATACCTTGATTACATAAAATAAAGTAATAATGATCTCCGGGATCAGGGAAGACGCCATTTTCTTCAGAATCTGGACAAGATACTAAAAAGAACAAAAAAAAATGAAGCATTGAAAACTAACAACTGAGTCATTTATTCATTCAACTTTTATTCATCCGTTAATACAATTAAATTAAAATTCATCATTTTATTGAAATAAAATCATTACATTGTTTAGTTATGTTTACAAGAAAAACTTCATTAGGATTTTCTGATGGAGTGCCCACAAATGTAATGCTACCATCAAGTAGCAACGGTTCTCCAGTTTGTGAATTGTTAGCACGGAAAATTACTGGGAAATTTGTTTGTGAACCTTGTTCCACAAGTCTGAGTTCTAATATCATTTTCTGGTTTATTGAATAACCAACCTTTTTACGTTCGCCTTTGTCTGGAAACAAAGTGACGTCTGCACCAGCATTGTTTTCAAAATTGATGTTAATGTAACGATCTGCAGAAATTGTCACAGCTGAAGTTCAAAATAATTTTATTTACATTTAAATGTAAAACCATAGTAAACAAACTACATAATAAAATAAAAACTATTTAATAAAAATGTAATTAAATCTTTTTTTATGAGAAAATATGTTGGGCCAATAAAATGGAAAGAAAAAGTAATTTTAAAAGTTGAAAATATTTCCAAAAATACTTACAATGCACTCCATAAAAAGCATCAATTTTCATTGCTTCAGACCTTGACACATATTGTTCAAAAAATACAATTTTCTTCGCAACCATAGAAATAAATGTATTAGAACTTTGTGTATTTTCAGCTCCAATTGTTATTCTGTTATTAAATTCTCCAGCACGATCTTGAATATCAACAGCACTCATTGTTTTTGCTTTTTCTTCACCATCCATAAAAAGTGTAAGACCTTTATCTTGGTGCCAAGTAAAAAGTATTGATGTCAAATTATTATAAGCGGCCTTATTTTTAACCTAACAAAAAATTTTTAAATATATATATATATATATATATATATATATATATATATATATATATATATGCACACACACATACTGTAAACAAAAGTGAAAAAATTGTTTATGAAAGAACAAAATGAAAATATCTATTACCCTCCACATAATACCATTGTATGATACTTCACAATAAATTTGGTCATTTTGCACATAAATTGAAAAACCTTGACCTCTGTGGCCTCCAGAATCAATTATATATTTAGGTATATTCTCAAAGTTATTTTTTCTATTACTCAATGAGATGTTTGAATCAATATTTTCAAGCAATTTTACTTGGACAATTATAGTCAAACCTTGGATGCATAAATTTGGATTTGAAAAACAAGTTCCTTAAAAAAAAATTTGCATTTGAAAAACAAATTTATTAAAAACTTGGTTTTGAAAAACTTAAAAACTCTGTAAAATAATTAATTTTTAGTTCATATAATTGAATAAAAGAAATTAAAAAATCGAAGTAAATAAATAAAAAATAATATTAATATATATTGTTTAAATAATATTTTTTACTTCGTAACAAATACATATTAAAAGGATTTATACCATCAAACTCTCCTGCATATAAATAGCCTGTTTTTCCATCAAATTTTATTCCCCCCTCTACTTCTTCTAATCCTTCAGTACTAGGAATGAGTGGAGGATTGGTGTGTATTTGTCCTTTAACTATTTCATTCAGAACCCATATAAATACAGGATTGGCGCCAGGTGCTTGAAAAAAATTAAATATATTTTAGTTTAGCAGCCTACTTGAACTAAGAGCTTCAAATAAATATGTAAGCAAGTTTATAAAAACACATAAATTTTAAATTTTACCTGGTGTTGTGATTACAAGATTAATGTATTCTAATTGACGCTCAACTGGTAAACATTCTACTGGTTTGTAATTATTGTTTATAAGTAATGGAACTCCTGTTTTAAGATCACTTGCAGTAAAATAGACAGATGCTACAGTCTTTCCATCAGTAGAGAGGTCTATGAGAGTAATTTCTAACGGACGATCAGGATGGATAATAAAACCTTCAGGCTTTCCTTTGTCAGGTAAAAGTAAAGCTACTCTGTCATCAGCCATGTTTACACGTAGTTTACATGTATACCCTTTTGCAGCATCTAAAAAAACACCATGCCACAATACATTACACTAAAAAAACTTATCCATATAACACTTATAAACTTTTTTAAGCACTTACAGCTACTCCACAGAAATATGTAGACATTTAGAATGTCTGAACTTTCTATAAACGTATTGAATGTTGTAAATGAACTAATACTAAAGTATCCATATGATTCTCCATGGATATTACGTCCTATACTAAAGTTTGGTCTTATTTCATTCTCATTTGTTTCAGTAATTCTGGTTCCAGTGCTGTCTGCTGATACCAATACTGCATTAAAGTAAAATAATAAACCACTAGACTCTCTCCATGTAGCAATTATATAGATTTCCCTATCTTCATCAGATACTTGATGTTCAACCTGCAAAAACATTATATATATTCATATATACTATATTATAAAATATTCATATGTACTATATTATAAAATATATATATATATATTATATATATAATATGTTATATATATATATATATATATATATATATATATATATATATATATATATATATATATATATATATATATATATATATATATATATATATATATATATATAACAAACTTTGATGGGGCCAGGAAAAACTAACTGAAAAATATCTCAATGACTCGCTGTCTACGTAATTGATGCTTTGGTCTTAGTTAAAAAGTGTTTGGTCGGTAGCATTTTTTGATTAGTTGAGAGAGTTAAGTACTAGCATACTCCTTAAATAAAGCATAATTATTTAATGCCATTGAATCTTTTAAACCTACATAAAAACCAGCAAAAACTTACTGAAAACTTAAAGTGCTGCATTATATTTTGAACAGATTTTAGTATTATTTCTGTTTAACTTTTTTTTAATTTTGATTTTATGGAAGAAACTTTTAGTGAGTTAAAAGCATGTCATAAATATAAAAAATTACGGTGAACACAAAAGTATATCTTCAAATAAAGAATAGTGTTAAAAACAAAGATTTAAGCATATTCAGTATATTTTTAAAATTAGTGATATATTTACATATGATACGCTTCTTTTCTTCTCGTGCCAGTTCAATAAGGCCCTGCGGTGAGTTTTTTCGTCCCATCTGAAAGCACAATAAGTTCTGCGCGCGCATTAAAAGTTATTATACCGTACACAAATTAAATAGAGCCCGTTAAAATCAGCCCAGTTGTTAACGGCTTTTTCACTTTCATTGCCGCAATGAAATAAAATAATGCTACATTACTTTAAATAAATTGTAAATTAACAGAATTTACAATTAGAACCCATTTAGAACTATTTATTTTTACAAAACCTGTTTGAATATATATATATATATATATATATATATATATATATATATATATATATATATATATATATATATATATATATATATATATATATATATATATATATATATATATATATAATATATATATATATATATATATATACAGTTTTCTCCACTTGAAATTTAATGCTAGCAAACAAAAAAGCGCTGGCAAGATGGTCCTATTTAAGTTAGCCTGCGGAATTCAAACAATTCTTTTCTTTTCTGCTATTTAAATTAAAATAAAAATAGCAAAAATAATGCTTTGAATAAATACTAGACACAATAATTAAAAAAAAACTGGTAAAAAAACCTATTTTCATAAAAGTTTAACAAACGAATAAAAATGTTTTGTTGCAATTAAAACAAATTGGTTTTATTTTTTTTGGCAAGTGCTATTATATGCGCTTGCCTTGTGGGTGAGCGCAAAAAGACTTGAGCGCAAAAGAACTGGCTAAACGAAGAATACTGTATATATATAAATTTATATATGCATGTATATATAAATACATATATGCATATATATATATATATGCTTATATATATATATATATATATATATATATATATATTATATATATATATATATATATATATGCTTATATATATATGCTTATATATATATATGCTTATATATATATATGCTTATATATATATATATATATATATATATATATATATATATATATATATATATATATATATATATATATATATATATATGCTTATATATATATATATGCTTATATATATGTACAATAAAAAGGTCCATAATCATCTTTATTTAGATTTTTTTTCATTTTAATTATTTAGCCTTCTACTACAATTTTAATAAAAGTGAATATATTGTCAAAAAAAGGCATTGTTAAAAATAGATTAAATTATTATTATCATTAAATATAAGAAAAGTAGAAAAGTAGAAAACTTTTTCTGTTTAATTTATCAATAATATACCTTATGATTTATAAGTAACAAAAAAAATTAAGCATTATATATGAAAATAATTCATACAGTTTGTTATTTACTATTGAAAATAGAAAATAACTATAAAAGTCATCATATGTGATAGAGATTGCTGCGGGAACTTTCCATGTAGAACATCTAGGTTATGAGTGTGCTCTTTGGGAGACATAATATGGAGGTTTGTACTTTTATATCAACAATCATGTATTTAAACAGAATAGACCTCCACGACAATTACCTACATTGAATCCCTAAAATAAAGAACCTCATTTTTCGAACTTTTTTTTCATTTTAACATATCTTTATCTACTTCAATTATGTCTAGTTCACAGCTAAATGGGCTCCCTTGTAACTTTAATCAAGCTAAAATAGAACTCATCTTGCACTCATCATCCATTTGTTTTTGTAGCTAATTTCAACTATATTCCATAGTTTCAACTTTTTAGAGAAATAATTGGACAATAATTTTAATTATATATAATAATTTGAAGCAATCTGTCTTTTTGATTACTTAAAACGTTTTTTTTAGAAAAAGACTTTGATCAAAATTTGAATAGCATAATTTTGATAGAAAAGTTGTGTAACTTTATACGCAAAGAAACTTTTGCAAAGACTTTTATTTTTTATATTTTTAAATTTTCAAAAAAGAAGTAGAAGGTCAACCATAAAAAATTAGCAAAAACTGAATTGTTTTTTGAACTTTTCTCAAAAAATTAATTAAGAATAACTGGTTAAACAAGAAATATAGAATTTTGGACCCCTCCTAGTACAATGCATATATATATATATATATATATATATATATATATATATATATATATATATATATATATATATATATATATATATATATATATATAAATATATATATAAATATATATATGTACAATGTATTTAATATTTTAATTCTAGTAAGGGATCATCCATAAATTACGTAATGCTAAATTTATTTAAAAAACAAAAGTAGGAGATCTTAAGTTCTTTTACACAGCAATTTTCATTAAACTTAATGGGCTGTTCTGTTTTTTTTAATTAACTAAAAACTTTTCGAAGAAAATCTTTTGATCTTTTTTGTTTTGTTTAATAATGAAAATTTATGTAAGTTATGAACGATCCCTAATTAGATTATTGTAGACATAATACATTTAATAAAAAAGTAAACATTTACTTTATATTAAAAAAAATTATTTTACAATTATTACTGTTATAAAAAACCTACAGTCCATGTTTTATCTTTTGTTGTAAGTTGGTAATGAAGTTTATTTCCTTTTAGATACATTGAAACACCAGGAAATGAGCCACCATAAGCACCACTGTCTAAAACATAGCGAGTTTCAGTTGTATTCAATTTGTCTGAAAAACCCCCCTTTAATGACAATGTAAATCCATCTGGACATAAGTAAGGCTTAATGAGACAATCATTTGATTGAAACTGAGCATCCATCCATGATTTTGGTCCATTTAACTGCAAACCTCCTAATTGGGCAGCAGATACGCCATGAGTTGTAAAGGACGGATTACCAAGAACCATGTCATCTTGGACTTCAAGGAAAGCATATGAATGGCTAGGAATAACCTTTAATGCTAAACAAAAAATAAATACAAGATAAGCAAAAAAAAAAAAAAAGAAAATATAGCAAAAAAAAAATACTAATAAAAAATAAAAATAGTTTTTATCTATATTTTTTAACTATTTACAACATAAACTATATAAATTGTTAATATATATTAAATAAAATCCAAATTCATACCCTGAGGAGTTATAGTAACATTGTAAACAAAATTTATATTTGTTGTTGGTTTTAATGGAATGCTTAATGACTCATTTAAAAGTACTGGATATTGTTTTTCTTGATCCAAAGCTTTGAAATATATTTCTTCAAACGGATTCTGACTGTCTACAGTAATGTTAACTTGTAAGTAGGCACGTGGCTCAACAAAATATTTGCCTCGACTACTTCGACTTGGTATAATCTTAATCATTCGATCCATTTGGTTGTCAAACAATACAACAAGATGAGTTTCAGTTACATAAGCTCCTAAAAACAAAATCAGTTTTGCAACTTTAAACAGTTAAATAATGATAAAGTTAAACCATTTATAATATATAATAATAATTATAATAAAGCATATTTAATATTATATATAATAATAGTATATTAAATATAATAATAGTTAAATAAGTAATATGAAATAATAATTATTTCAACAATATGAAAATGATTAAATTACTATTTTTACATAATAAAATTATGTATTACTATTAATATATATATATATATATATATATATATATATATATATATATATATATATATACATATTTTTTTGTTGTTGCGAAAACGCCAATATCTGGCAATATTTCCACTGAATCTCTTTCTTAGAATAGACCCTGTATATATATATATATATATATATATATATATATATATATATATATATATATATATATATATATATATATATATATATATATATATATATATATATATATATATATATATATATATATATATATATATATATATATATAGGTGCATACATTTATTAATAAAATACTTTTATTTTTTTTTCTTAAGTAAAACTTGAATTACTTAAAATGATTTAAATTCTCCAGGTAAAAGTTGCTTACTTAAAAAATAAAAAAAGGTTTCAATTAAAAAAATTCAGTTTAAATTCTGTTAAGATTGCTGTTTGATTTATGACAATAAAGTAGAGAAGGGGAACATATGTGTATTGGTAGACATGCATTAGCTTTCATTTCTTGATATTAATTTCTATAAGCCATACTTGGACCCAATTACTTATGTTCTCTGTTAGGTTGCCGATAAAGTTTTTGTTTAACAGTGTTGAAAACATTGGGTTTTAATAGTCTACATACATTTTTGCAAATGTCTTGTTACTAATTTTTTCTGGTAAAAAAATTGTTTATAAAAAGACAAAAAAATAGTTTATAATTTGAACAAAAAATCAAAAAATCATTTCGAGGTTTCAGCACACGGTTTTTTATTTATAAAACCAAGGTTACAATTTGATGAATGATTGTGAGACAGTAAATACTCCTTGTTTTTAAATACATTCCTTTATCTTGTATGACAGAGAAGTAATGGAAGTTGGTTTTGGTTCTACTTTGGAAACTTCTTTGAAAAAGAAGTTTGCTACAGACCATGCCTTTAGCAATATTCTTGTTAATTTTTTAACAATTTATCTTGTTAATAATTTAAACATGGCAATGAAAAATATGAGGGGGTCAGAAATTAATTGTACACCCTGTATATGTATGTATGTATGTATGTATGTATGTATGTATGTATGTATGTATGTATGTATGTATGTATGTATGTATGTATGTATGTATGTATGTATGTATGCATGTATGTATGTATGTATGAATGTATGTATGTATGTATGTATGTATGTATGTATGTATGTATGTATGTATGTATGTATGTATGTATGTATGTATGTATGTATGTATGTATGTATGTAAGTATGTATGTATGTATGTATGTATGTATGTATGTAAGTATGTATGTATGTATGTATGTATGTATGTATGTATGTATGTATGTATGTATGTATGTATGTATGTATGTATATATCTATACATACATATATATATATATATATATATATATATATATATATATATATATATATATATATATATATATATATATATATATATATATATATAATTATTATATAATTTATATATTAATATAAATTAAACAAAATAAAATTACCATTTGGTGGCTCTCCTGGAGTAAGCTCAATATATGATATGGAAGATGAATCACTTGATGGCATCAATGTAAAGCTTTCTTTTCCATTAATAAGTAAATTTTTGTTTGTTCCATATTCATGCACCTGGAACTCATATTGAGTAAGACTGTCATCAGCTATATGAATAACTTTTGAGAGGTTTGCAGCTTTTCCACTTTCAATATCTTGTGTTTGCTGATTAGTATTTTCATTCCATTTTAGTGTTACTTTTTTACCAGCATTATTAGTGATATGAAGATTAATGTAATACGTTTTGAGAACTGGATCACCGACTTGCAAAATGGTGGTTACCTTATCAACCATTGGTTTGATAACAATTTCATTTTGGTTGTTTAAGAGCAACTGTCGCATGCGATCTTTTGTAAATACTTTAAAGACAACTTCTTGAGGCTGAGACTCTGAAGTTGTTACAATTTCAGCATATTGTACAGAGTTGGCAGGGATCTGACGCTCCCGATCAACACCATTTTCTTTATACACCAGTAACACTCCATCATTAGCATTGTTCTCTACTCGAACACTCATATAGAATGTTTGCTGCTTAACTTCTGGAATAAAAATAATAATGATAATGTAATATAGATTTACAAACTGTTTGCGTAAAAAATATAAACAAAGCATTTTTATAAATTAACATAAACTGTTTACACAAAGATACAGAAAATTTCAAAAATAAAACAGACTCAAAGAAAAACCTGATTTTGCGTTTGCTACTTCAATATATATCACATCCTGATTTTCTCGAGGCTCTAACTGAAATATTTGTTTACCGTTTACGAGAACCTTTCGAGAGACATTACCACTAGTATAACCAGAAATATCAATTAATCCTGGTGCAGTAGTGGATAAGAACTGACTACGATATATAACAGTACCACTTCTCGGAATTTCAATGTTTTTCTCTTCTCCATTCTCTACCCACATTAAATTGATTTTATTCTTGCTTTTGTTTAATATATTGAATGTAAGGTAATAAGTTTTTCCAGAACCTTATAAAAAATAAAAACATTTAAATATAAAAAAAACTATATACTTTAAAAGTAAATATAATATATTTAATTTAAAAAATTGTATATAAGTAAATATTAACAAAAAACATTAATATATATTTAACACATTTACAACGCAAACAAATAACAAATATATAATTAATTAATAAAATAATATATATATATATATATATATATATATATATATATATATATATATATATATATATATATATATATATATATATTAATACTACTAATTAATAATAACTAAACAAAGGTTTAAACTTTAAACCTTTGTTTAGTTAATTTCCTCAATATAATATAAATGTGTTTTACATACTTAATTGGATAACAATTTTACATACCAATTTTATTGCCAATATTTGCAGTTACTACAACTTTTCTGGTGGTTGGAGTGACAATAAAAGAATCCTTTCCATTAATTTTTATAGCTTTCATTGTCTCTGAATTGTATGCTCTAAAAGTGACTTTACCAGGATCCATGTCTGATCTAATTACAAATTCTTGATAAAGTTCTCCCCTGTTGGGTATAAAAACAGTTTTCTCTTCATTCAACTCATTCCACTTCACAATAACATTGTTTTTTTCTTTATTGTTAAGGTGTACACTAACATAATAAGTTTTGAAGACCAAATTACTTGAGTTTCCTTTAAAAAATAGAGGTTTAAATTCAGAAAATTAAATGACAAACTTTTCTTTTTTTTTTTAATTTTTAAAAATATTAACATTTATTCATGAATACTTTTGTTTAAAAAAATAAATTACGACATTTCTTCTTAAAATAAAGTCAAAATACCTTGATTTGGTTTTGAGGTTGGCGAGTGGAGTGGAAGCTCAATCTTTACTAGTTGGGTTGATTTGATTATTGAAGGTGTTATTGAAAACTTCTCAAGACCGTTTAATTTCTGAACTTGACTTGTATTTTTTACACGAGCTTGAAAAAATACAGGCTTGGGGGTGCCAGTAGCTCCTATCTGGAATTCATGAAAAACAATAGAGTTAGCAGGAATAATCTTTTCATCTGTTACAGCATCAGGGAGAGTCCATTTGAGAACACTATCATATTTTGAATTTTGATTATCTACTTGCAAGCTGATGTAATAAACATCATAGTTTTTAAATGATTCAGAATTTTTAGCTTGCGTATTGTTATAAATTACAGCAACAATAGGTAACTTATTTGAAATTACAGAATTAGGTTGTTTATTAGTTATCATTAAACCACCTGGTAAACTATCAGATGAAACACCTGGAGTTGATATCAAACCACCTGGTGAAAAACCAGGTCCAGAGGTGGTTGTTGAACCACTTGATAAATTGCCAGTGGAACTTTCTTTAGTTGTCATTGAACCACCAGTGTTACTGTCTATAGTTGTTATTGAACCAACTGATGAATCAGCTGATCCTTCTTTAGTTATCAATGGATTACCTAAAAAATTACCAGATGAGAAGTTTTGATTAAGTTTATTTTGTTCCACTAATAATGGATCAACAACAGCCTGATCTATTGATGTAGAAACTGTCATACCAGGATACTTGTTAGTAACAACGGGACGTTGCCCCAATAAAGTATCAAGATTTGATGGCGGATAAGCATAAGTGTGAGGTAAAACAGAGAGCTTAATATTTTGAATATTTGTTTTTGTATCTAAACAAAATTTATTTTATGTTTTATGAAACAAAAAAAATCTTTAAAAGATCAATGTTCTGTGTTTTTCAAACTTTTTAGCAGTTAAGATTAAACTTTCAAACAAAAAAAAACTACTTTTAAAAAATAAAACAAAACCTTGAAAAAAGTGAAATAAATATTTTTAAAATAAATATTTATAAAAAGTGAAATAAATATTTCAACATACCTATATTATTAGAATATGGTATGGTAGTACTAGAATCCATATAAAACCCAGCTGGACCAACAGGAACAGAAATTGGGATTGTATTATTTGGTATTTTTGTAGAATTAGTTAAAGAATTTCCCAAAACCATTATTGAACTATTGAATAAACCACCAAAGGGTGTTGTTGAACCACCTGATTTTCCAACATTTGAACTTCCAACAGTTTTGACAAAACCACCTGATGATTCATTAGTTGAAGCTCCTAAAGTTGTCATTGAACCACTTGATGATCCATAAGTTGAACCTCCTAGATTTATTACTGAACCATTGGATAACTCATTATTCAAACCTCCAATAGTTGTCATTGAACCGCCTGATAACCCATCAGATGAAGTACCTAGATTTATCATTGAACCACCTGATGATTCACTAGTTGAACCTCCTAGGGTTGCCATTGAACCACTTGATGATCCACCATTTGAACTACCTAGATTTATAATTGAACCACCTGATGATTCAGCAGTTGAATTTCCGAGCGTCATTGATCCACCATTTGAACCTCCAATAGTTGTCATTGAACCACTGGATAACTCATTATTCAAACCTTCAATAGTTGTCATTGAACCACCTGATGATTCATTATTTAAACCTCCAATAGTTGTCATTGAACCAACTGATGATCCACCAGTTGAGCCTCCTAAGGTTGTCATTGAACCACCTGATGAACCACCATTTGAACCTCCAATAGTTGTCATTGAACCACCTGATGATCCACCATTCGAACCTCCAATAGTTGTCATTGAACCATCTGATGATCCATCAGTTGAACCTCCTAAAGTAGTCACTGAACCACTGGATAAACTATTATTCGAACCTCCAAAAATTGTCATTGAACTGCCTGATAATCCACCATTGGAACCTCCAATAGTTGTCATTGAACCACCTGATGATTCACCATTTGAACCTCCAATAGTTGTCATTGAACCACTTGATGATCCACCATTTGAACCTCCAATAGTTGTCATTGAACCACCTGATGATCCATCAGTTGAACCTCCTAAAGTAGTCACTGAACCACTGGATAAACTATTATTTGAACCTCCAAAAATTGTCATTGAACCACCTGATGATCCACCATTTGAACCTCCAATAGTTGTCATTGATCCACCTGATGATTCACCATTTGAACCTCCAATAGTTGTCATTGAACCACCTGATGATCCATCAGTTGAACCTCCTAAAGTAGTCACTGAACCACTGGATAAACTATTATTTGAACCTCCAAAAATTGTCATTGAACCACCTGATGATCCACCATTTGAACCTCCAATAGTTGTCATTGAACCACCTGATGATTCACCATTTGAACCTCCAATAGTTGTCATTGAACCACTTGATGATCCACCATTTGAACCTCCAGTAGTTGTCATTGAACCACCTGATGATCCATCAGTTGAACCTCCTAAAGTAGTCACTGAACCACTGGATAAACTATTATTCGAACCTCCAAAAATTGTCATTGAACCGCCTGATGATCCACCATTTGAACCTCCAATAGTTGTTATTGAACCACTTGATGATCCACCATTTGAACCTCCAATAGTTGTCATTGAACCACCTGATGATCCATCAGTTGAACCTCCTAAAGTAGTCACTGAACCGCTGGATAAACTATTATTCGAACCTCCAAAAATTGTCATTGAACCGTCTGATGATCCACCATTTGAACCTCCAATAGTTGTCATTGAACCACCTGATGATCCACTAGTTAAACCTCCATTATTTGTCACTGAACCATTGGATAACTCATTATTCAAACCTCCAATAGTTGTCATTGAACCACCTGATGATCCACCGGTTGAACCTCCTAAAGTAGTCACTGAACCACTGGATAAACTATTATTCAAACCTCCAATAGTTATCACTGAACCACCTGGTGATTCAACAGTTGAACCTCCTAAGGTTGTCATTGAACCACCTGATAATACACTATTTGAACCTCCAATAGTTGTCATTGAACCACTTGATGATCCATTATTTAAACCTCCAATAATTACCACTGAACCACTTGATGATCCACCATTTGAACCTCCAATAGATGTCATTGAACCACCTGATGATCCACCAGTTGAACCTCCAATAGTTATCACTGAACCACCTGGTGATTCAACACTTGAACCTCCTAAGGTTGTCATTGTACCACCTGATGATCCACCATTTAAACCTCCAATAGTTGTCATTGAACCACCTGATGATCCACCAGTTGAACCTCCAATAGTTGTCATTGAACCACCTGATGATCCACCAGTTAAACCTCCAATAGTTGTCATTGAACCACCTGATGATCCACCAGTTGAACCTCCAATAGTTATCACTGAACCACCTGATGATCCACCAGTTGAACCTCCAATAGTTGTCATTGTATTATTTATTGGTGTGCCTAAATAAAGGTATGAAACTTATAAAATGATTTTTTAAATACTACTTGCTTCATTATTTAACAAAAATAAATAAAATTAAAAATTAAATAACAAACTTTGATTTGAAAGATAATATTAAAATTTTAGTTAGTTTTTTTTCTTTTAAAGAAATAAAAATTTTTCAAAAATTTGAAAAACATTTAAAGAACATTTTAAAAATTTGAAATTTGAAAATTTGAAAAACATTTAAAAAATTTGAAAAACATTTGAAACAAAAATGTAAAAAACTGAATAAAATTTTTCTGTTAAACAACAAATTATGGTTCAATAAAAAATATTTTATTCAGTTTTTTATGTTTTTTCAAATTTTTTACTTCATTTATTAACTAATATAAATAATTTTGATAAATAACACTCACTTAAGTCTGCAAAATTAAGAGTAAAGTGCTCAAATGGATGCTCAGTATATCGTATAATAACTTCGGATTTTCCGTCAATTAAAATTGGCATGTTTGAACCTTTTTTAAATGCAGTAACAGTAACTGGCAGTGGTAATGTAACAGAGGGTTTTACAACAATCTCATCAATAACTTGATGCTTCCCTAAATCTATGGTTTTAATGACATTTCCATCTTGTTTAAATAAAACTTCAAGGTCATCTTCACCACCAGTGTTAACTAAAGCGTAACTTAGTCCATATGTTTTAGCTAATAGTTTAAAGAAAAATAATTATACTTTATTTATAAACCAGAAAAAAAATTAAAATTGGGGAGAAAAGTTAATAATTTAACATAATCAAAATAATAACATAACAAATAACAAATAAAGAAGGAAACATTGTATTCAACAAATAAATTATTTATTAAAATGCTATTACAAGAATATTACCTATATTTTGTATATTAGAGCCAACGCCAAATTTTAATGGTAGTGGGTTTGTTGTTAATGTATTAGAAAACTCAAGAGTAACTTCAGGCTGCCCATTTATTAACACTTGAGTGCTTTCTCCTTCAATAATAGCTGTAACAGTAACAGGTGTTGTTGTTGGAACATCAAGATTAGTTATAGCATCACCATATTTCAAATCTCTGAATCGTGTCACTCTAACAATGTTACCAGCTTGTTTAAAAGTGACTGCTAAGTTGAGTTTTAAAGGATTCTCCATGAAGTATTGAATGTAATAAACACCTAAGATAAAAAATTATACAAACATTATCAACACTAAAAGTTAGAACAAAACGAGTACCTAAAAGTTAGAACAACACGAGTGCCTAAAACATTGTTTTTCCACTAATTTTCTTTTTTGTAATTTTTACAATGTTATTTTATCTTCATAATATAATATTATTGAACTTGAATGATACCATAGAAACTTTTTCACCTGTTAGAAATACTTATGAAACAAAAAGCTGGAGTTTTATATTAAAACATCAGAGTTTTATCAGATTTGTTTTGTTTTTAATTAATCCATGTAAATGGTTTGTTATTAAAATTTTCAAAATTAATGTTTCATTAAAATTTCATAGATCAGCCTAATGAGTAGATAAAGTACATCAGTATAAAACATATCTTTATGGTTATTGTTAATTGAATACAAATTTTGTCACCATGACCATTGTTAATTATATACAAATATTGTCACCATGACCATTGTAAAAAAATAAATATTCTCATTTGACATCATTAATTTTTTAAAAAAAAAGAAGGTTTTAAAAAATATTTTAGGTTGAAGGTATTATCTTTGATTACATATCTTAATCATTTCCGAATCTAGTGTTGTATTAAGGAGTGCGCTAATAAAATAATAACATAAAAAACTTATTAAAAATTATAACATACTTGGGTTATTTGTGATTGTTGGTGGATTAGTGGTGTTAGCTTCACTCAGATATATAACTTGTTTTTGTGGTTTATTCAAGTACTGAAATTTAATAATTTTAGGTGCTGATGGAGATCCAGATTTCTGAACTGAAACCAAAATGTCATCAGGTTGTTGCTCAAATGATTTATTTTCATAAAGAGAAAAATTATTGTGTGGTGGGATAACATAGACCTTGCCTAAAACTGGTGGGTACATGAATGTGAATTCATCTGTTCCACTGTTGATAAGCAATACATCCATGTAATAAGCTTGTAGATCTGTAAAAGCAAAACAAAAATAAATTATAAAAACTGTTTGTTCATGCATAATATATTAGGACACTGCATTTGCCTTACTTAAGACAGTGTGGCCACTACAGTAAAGGGAACTATTCTTTTTTCTTTTTTATGGTTGTTACAACACTCTCTTGACTCTTTAACTCTCATTTTGGTACACCCTGTTTCCTGTAAAGAGTTAAAAGAAAAGTAAAATCTCAACTCTTTATCTCCAAAACATAAGCCTTGATGAACAAAACCACTCCAATAAAACCAATAATTTTTTAGTCTTTTTTTTTATCTCTAATTTAAATAGGAAACAGGTAATACCAAAACGTTTTAACCCCAATATATATATATATATATATATATATATATATATGTATATATATATATATATATGTATATATATATATATATATATATATATATATATATATATATATATATATATATATATATATATAAAATACACATACATACTCTAATAGTTTGAGGTTGGCATCAAGTTGGCAAAAAAAAAATTGAAATGAAGAGGTTACTATAAAACATAGAAACAAGATTGGCAATTTTTTGCCAACCTCAAACACTTTTAGGTCAGCACATAGATCAGCATTGCTGAATGCTGACCATAATTAAAAGACCTGTATATATATATATATATATATATATATATATATATATATATATATATATATATGAATGTATATATATGTTAAACATAAGAAAACTACAATCACCAATTTCTTCACTACCAGACACCAAGTAAACTGGTTCTCGATCAGTGCTAGGCGTAATAGAAACTTCTGATTTGTCATTCAAAAATACAATTGATTCTGTACCAGCTTTTACAGCATAAACATTTATATTAGAAGGTCGAGTTGGGAGAGTTGCCATGTAATCAATACTTAGTCCTTGCATGCTTGCTAGTTGCTTTGTCCCTTCTGATCCATTAAAATATTGGAATTTTACTTCAATACTGTCACTTCGAGAGTTATATATTACCATACTTACATAATATGTTTGCATTTGAGATGATCCTATATAATATTAACAATTGTATAAAAATAAATATAAAAATAAATAAATATTAAAATATATAAAAATAAATAAAAATAACGTAAAATATAAAATAACAATATAAAATAAAAAGGTTTAAAAGAGTAAAAATTAGAAGAAATTAGAAGAAAAGAGAAAACTCATAATATGCAATATTAAGTTTAAAATTGATAACTATAATTTGAAATCTCATTTTTTAAATATTTATAATATATCTATTATTAAAATAATAATAATAATAATAATAAAACTTTAAATTACAATACCAATATTTATAAATTTGAAAGTCTGGTTATCAGATGATGGTGTAAATTCAACAAATGATTTTTCATTTAACATCAGAGGCTGTCCTGTAACTTGATTTACACCTGTAAATCTTACAGGATTATTGTTAGTACTTTCAATAATAACTGGTATATTAAGAGATGAAGGACCAACAACAACTTCAAATACTTTGCTCATGACTTCATAGTTGATTACTGCAACTAGAGACTCATAGTTGTTTATAAAAACAAGCAAATTGTATTCTTGTTTATTTGGTGAACCTGTATCACAAATTTTATTATTTATAAAATTTAATGAAATATTTATATAAACACAGCAATAAAATTTATTGACCTGTTGTAAAGACAATGACACTTACCAATGGTAATGTATTCATATTGCTCTTCAATGTAAGGAATCACTTCGACATTATATTTCCCACTATTGAATGCAACAGCTGCCTTAGTAAGTATATCTTCTGCTGAAAACGTGATTGGTTTGTTACTAAATTCCAATATTGCTAATTTAATGCTGCTCTTGGGATTGATTGGAACTGTTTGCGTTATTCCATTTATAGTATATTTTATGAGTACAGGATTTCCTTCAACATTGTAGTTTGTTATATTAACAACAACATTGTATTGTTTTCGCGAGCCTTCAAATGAAAAGAATTATATTTTTTGTTATAAAACTGAACTTATAAATGACACAAACAATTTACTTTTAGAGGCTATAAAAATATAGTAACATAAAACAATTGCACATATTAAATTATAAAATAAATTTCTATCAAAATTGAGCTATTTTATAAATATAGTAGATTTAGGAAAACATGAAAATGAGAGAGAGTTCCAAAAGGTTGAAGTGCAGGGGAAAAAACTAGTTGAATAAAAGTTTTTAGAGCATGCAGGGATACAGTAAATGAATGAGACTTGTCACTGCTGAATAACGAGTCAAGCAAGACTGAGTTTTAGTTGATGGAACATTATAAAAGAATATAGCGTCTTTGAGGTGACCATGATAGTATTTGTAGAAAAAAAAAAGAGAAATAACTTTACAACAATAGGAAAGAGGCTCAAGCTTAACAGACAAAGCAGGTCCAATTACGTTTAAATTGCATTTTTGAACCTTGTCTAGAAGAGAAAGAGCATCAGAAAAACCAGCCCAAATATGACAACAGTATTCTATACAGGGATAAATAAGAGATTTGTAGAGGCATGTTATTGCATGTTATTGTAGAGAATGGAATAAGGAGATAAATAGTTTAAATAAGAGATAAATATAATTAAGAAATATAATTAAGAGAGATAAATATGTTTTACATATGTACGGTTGTATAGATTACATATGTAAGGTTGCATAGGTACATATGTAAGGTTGTATAGATCAAATATGTAAGGTTGAATAGGCTACATATGTAAGGTTGCATAGTTGTAACTTTTGTTGGTTTTAAGGTTGCATAAGAGACATATGTAGAGTTGCATAAGTAACATTGTAAGGTTGGATAAGTAACATATGTAAGATTGCAAAGTTACCTATGTAAGGTTGCAATATTAACATATGTAAGGTTGCATAGGCTACATATTTTTTGGTTGCTACAACACTCTCTTGACTCTTTAACTCTCATTTTGGTACCCCCTGTTTCCTGTAAAGAGTTAAAAGAAAAGTAAAATCTCAACTCTTTATCTCCAAAACAAGCCTTGATGAACAAAACCACTCCAATAAAACCAATAATTTTTTAATGACTTTTAAACCAACAACTTTTGTTGGTTTAAAAGTCATTAAAAAGCATTAAAATAATTTTTGAAAAACCTACCTATGATAACTGTAGCCATATTCCAACTTGTTGTTGGCTTAGCCACATACATATCAAGATTATTTATAGGAACTAAAGCACCACTTGTTTTAAATGCCTGGAAGTAAACGTTGTCAGGTTGGGATGCTGCCACTTGAAATTCAGAAATTATTTTAGAATTTTGCGATGGAATAAAGACTTGCTGCTCAACTCCACTGAAGTTATACTTCATGATGATGTCACTTGGGTCGTAGTTAATAACTTGCAGTAAGGTATAAAAGATAACTTGCTGAGCTTCTGTTGGTGTACCTGCAAAATATTTAAGAATGTCTTAATATTTTATTACTGTTTTTTTAAAAACATTCAATAACATTGAAAGTAATATAAAGAAAAAAAAAGAATATACCTTCACCAATTGTGATTGAAAATATGTTTTGCTGCTGGCTGGCTACCACAGGTAGAAGAGGTTGTCCATTAAGCAAAACTTTATTTGATGTCCCTTTTATAAAACCAGTGATGTTTGAAGGAAGTGGTGTAGACTCACTAATAAATGCAGAATTAACAAACAAATCAGAACTTGGAGCTACATCTTCAACTAAAATTTTTCCATTAACAACCCAGCTCACAGTAGCAATGCTTGATTCATATTTATTTATGAACTGCAGATTTAAGTAGTAGACCTTGGGCTCTAACATTTCTAAATTAAAAAATTTTTTGGTTTAAAAATGTTTGGTTTTAAATAAATCAAACATACTAACTTAAAAAAAAAAAATTGAATTTGCCTTGTTTTGCTGTTACAAAAATTCGGTAAGTTGAGTCCACAGTGGATAAACTATACAACAATTGCAGCTGATTGTTCAAAAATAAATTTACTGATGAGTTTGATTTCATATGAGCTGTATAGACAACAGGAAGAGGCTGGAAAACTGAATTGATGATTCCACGACGAAGTACAACATCTTGATAATAAAGTTCAATTGGCTCATTATCAATCATAACAATGATGTTAGCCGGAACAGTGTTAATAATCTCTATGTTTACAAAGTACTGTTTTGATAGAGGATTCACAATTTCTAATAATTAAAAATTTGATATCAATTTAAATTAATCTCTGAACACTTAATTTTTTTTTTACAAAACATAATATATAAAAAAACTGAAAATAATTGAATGAACAAACAAATGAATAAACAATCAAATTAAAAAAAAAACAAATATTTACCATTTTCAGTTATCCTAATTTCAGTTACTTCTCCTTTTATATCAGATGCTAAATAATTTAGCTCATAATTTCCATTTAAAAAGTATTTTTTGAGATTATACACAGCTGACATTACAAATGATGGTCGCATAGTTGTATTAACAAGCATGTTTACTGTTGTTATCGATCCAGGTTGAATAACTCTCTGTTTTGCATATTCAAAGCCATTATAAACAATGTTAACTGGCACTACAACTGTGCTAATGAATCGCAAATTAATAAAATAAATTTTTGATTCACCGCTGTATTCTCCTAAAATTCAAAAACTTTATGTCAAAAAGTTTATACTTTAAATGCTTCATGTGTACCATAAGCTACTTTATGCCTACCATAAGCTACTTTATGCATACCATAAGCTGCTATAAAAAAATGCTATTACCTTTGCGTTTTGCAATATAGAGCACATTGTATATGTAATCTTCGCTCCAAGGTACTGAGTATGATTCTTGCCCATTTATATAATACTGAACATCGCTGTTAGAATCTGTAGCTATATATATAAAAGGCTGTGGACATGTACCATTAGATGTGTTTACCGAAGCTGTATTTTCCACATGTCTGTTCGGAAAAATTTCTTTATTAACTACCTCCATTGTCCCTTGCACTGCTTTTATTTGAGCAACATTGTCAGACAAGTTAATAACAACAACATGAAGTTGGCAATTTGTTGGTACATTTACTGAAACAACAAATTATTGTTATATTTTATTAAAAACACTCTTTGTAAGTCATACTTTATGAAAAACATAAAAAAGTTGAATTAAAAAATAATGACAACTTAAATTTTCACTTACAATTTAAAACATAAATCATAATATAAAACAAAAAATTTTTATTTTGTAATATAATTAATGATTTAAGTTCTTGCAAAATTATAATAAATTTGTTACCTGGGCATTTAAATGTTATACAATATGCACTTTCTTGTGGAAATCCAAGACCTTGGTCAGTACAAGATCGTCCACCATTCTCTGGGACAGGGCTATTACATGTGCGGTTACGATATCTTTGTCCTGTTCCACAACTTGCACTACATGCTGTCCATTCTCCCCATTCACCATAATCTCCATCAACTTTAAAAAAAAAAAAGCTCTTTTTTTAGAAACACAAATATACTAGACTGAATAAATGAAGATTGAAAATTTTCAGCATAAAAACTTAAATATAAAAAAAAAATACTAACTTGCTGGAGGACAAACAGGATCTTCACGAAGACTTTCACTCATTGATTCACTTAATCCTGTAATTATATACAATTTTAATTATAATCATATAAATAATTAATATAATTAGATTAAAAGATAGAAAGCAGAGAACATTATTTTATGTCTTTGAAATAAAAATGTATAGGTCTAACAAGTAATTCAAAATTCTAAAATGGCAGACAACATTAACAACACTTCAACTGACACTGACTTAACCAAGGTTTAATACTTTTTTAAATATAAAGTGCAAACAAAATACAAAAACTAAATAAGCAAGAATTTTTCTAACTGCATGCAACATAAATCTTAAAACAAAGTACTAGCAAATTGTTGATAACTACAAACTTGCAGTCATTAAATACAAAAATTCATATATAACAAATTCCCACAAACTTGGTTAATACTTTGTCTATAATTTAGTCAAAACATTGATTTTCATTTGTATAGAAAAAACAATGATGACGAAGATGATGATGATGATGATGATGATGATGATGATGATGATGATGTGATGATGATGACATTGATTATGAATTGTTAATTAGAACTATGCTTCAATATTTGTCATGGTAACAATAATAATGGTATAAATACCTGAGGAAGTTACAACATAAGTTATTGGGATCAGTCCATCTTTTGTTGGTGTTAAGTCAATAACTTGTTGATTATTGACCAATTCAGATATATTAGTTCCATACTGTACCATCATTACTTTGTATTGTGGTAAAGATGAAACATAAGATGTTAAATTATGGTGAAATTCTGCTTTGGAATTTTCATCAATATCAATCTCTTTGATACCATCTCTCCACGTTAATGTTACTCTTTTTCCAGCGTCATTTTGTATATTAATGTTTATTGAATAATATGTAGGTTCAAGAAGAACATCTTTGCCTAGCAAAAAAAAAAAAACAACCTAATTATTAAATTTTTTATTATTTATATAAAATAATAAATTAAAATAATAATTTTTTTATTATTTATAATACAATTTAACTACAATTTATTTTATTTAATTCAAAAAAGTTCTGTAAGTATTGCTAAAATCAACCAAGTGTCAACATTAAAAACCAAAAGTTTTATGGAAAAAGACCTGTTAATGATATATCCACAATAATGATGGAATTGCGAGTAGAGGTTGATAACATAGTGTAGTTTTCTTGTCCATTAATCTTCAATGGATATCCATTGGATTTTTTAGTTGCTTTTAAAACAAAGGTAGGTTTTTCTCTAGATCTAAAAATTCTTAACCAATTTAAAACATCATCAGCATCAAGTGTAACTTTTTCAGGACGCCCAAACTCTTCAAATGTAATGTCAACTTTGCCTTCAGCATGGTTTACAAACTGGTAATTAAAGTAGAATGTCTTTAACTCTTCTGTTTTTGGGTCTGAATTTTAAAAAAAAAGACTTGAATTGTAAATAATAAAAAAAAAAAAACAATTAAAAATATAAATTTAAATCTTTTATTGTTTAACCTTTTAACTGAACTGATGTAATTTCTTGTAATGTAAATTCTTCTCTTGCTACAGCAGGTGTTACTTCTAATTCCTCTGCATTATTAATAAACAGAGGTTGAGCACGATCAAGTCTAGAAACTTTAAAGGAAACACCAGGTGGTGAAGGAACTGTTGTTCGAAGTTCATTTACCATACGTGTAACACTTGAACCATCAAGTACTTGAAATTTTCTGTCACTACCTAATGTCCATTCCAACACAATTGAAGCACTAATATTATTTACAACTTCAACATTGTAGTAAAATATGTTTATTTGGCTAGAAGAGTTTTCTGAATTAACATCATTCAAACCTATAATTTAAATTCATAAATAATTTAGTTAAAACAACTCCAAATTTATATTAAAAACTAAAATAAATTTTTTCTTAAATTCAGTAATAAAAAATTGATATAATGGTATAATAACTAATATAATTGATAATAAAAACTTTTTGGACCTTAATTTATATACTTTAACTTTATTTCACATTTTATTTCAGAATTTAAAATAAAAATTTAAAAAATAAAACCTTTTGCTTCTCTAACCCAATACCATATGGTAAGTGGATTTTCAGCAACTGTTTTTAACCAAGGAGCAGGAGCATATGTAGCATCTTTTGCAATAAGTGTGCCGAACCAATCTTCTTCAGGATTTTCTGCTGTTGTCAATAGAGCTTTAGAACTTCCAAGAGGAATATAAGGCATGCGAAACCGTATTGATGATGAGTAATTCCATTGACTAAACTTTTTCACAAGTTTTATGTCTGTTTGGTTGTTATAGCGATTTAAAATTCTAAAAATAAAAACACTTGCTAATTACATTTTGTTTTTCTTTTCAAAAATGTTGCCATTAAACAAACATTTGTAATGTTAAAATATCATTATTTTTTAATAACTTGTGTTATTAAAAACTTGTTAACTACATATTTGTTTTGTACTAACTTGTAGCCTGCAGGAGCTTCCCAAATTCCACCAAATTGACCTAAATCTCCTGCCTCTAGTCGATATTGAAAACTGTTATTTGCAAGTGATAATATTCCATCAGCACGATTTAAAATAGAAAAATCTGACTGCAATCCAGGATTATCGTTTCCACGAAACAAAATATTATTTAGATCCCAATCAGCACTTTGACTCGTAATAATTAGAGTCCAACCTCCTTGATTTCTATTCATGTCACAGTATGTAAAATATGTTTCACTTTCATCATTTGGTACAGCGTTAGCAAGACGATAGATTCCATCATGTCTTCTGTGACACCTATCATAATATTCACGACAGGAACGAATCGGAGTTGCTATTTTTTATAAAAAATATTCATTTTAAAATTTATAAAAATATACATTTTACTAAAATAACAACACTGGTTAATATATATAAATACATAATATAAAATTAAATATTATCATAAATTATACATACATGGTTCTTTTGTTGGTGATACAGGTGAAGTGGGTGTTGTGGGTGGTGGAGTGGAAGTTACAACATTAGAACTTGATGGTGTAGGTGTTACAAATATTGATGAGGAGGTATCTGCTTTAATTGATGAAAATGTAGAAAAACTTTTAGAGAGTAGTGTAGTGGGGGCATTTGGGACTGCAGAAGAATACAAAATAAAAGTCGATTGAACTGTAGGTAGTACTGAAGTAGAAGACAAAACTGATGTAGATGAAATAAAATGACCAGTTGAAGTAGTAGGATATATTCCTTGTGTGGAGCTTACAATGGGAACTGTGTTGATTACCGTTGTAGATATTGTTGCAGATATAATTGAATTACTGCATGATAAAGTGCATTTAACACTAGGAAACACCTCAGTTGTTGAAGTTGATACTTCAGGTTTAATAACAGAGGTTGATTGACTAGGAGGAACAATACATTCTTTGCAAGGAAAGTCCAAACCATACTCAGGTGATGGTAAAGCTAAAAAACATATAAACATCTTTAATTAGCATAATTATAATATAAAAAGTCTAAATATAAAAATTTTAATTATATAAAAGTTGATACTTTTATGTATCTATGGCTACATCAACAAAGACAAAATGCTTGTATGTTTTTGAAACATCCATTTTTTTTAAAGAAAAACTGTTTATATTTTGGTGTTAACTTACCATAAGAACAGGCATTCACCAATTCTCCTATTTCTTTTTCTGATAAAGCTTTGGTTAAAATGTAGAACTCGTCTACAAAACCATTTAACTGTTGCCCATCAATCTTACTGCCAATTTTTGCAGACTTTCCCCAGTCTTCAGATAACAAACCTGAACCATCTACAGTGGTTATTAGTCTAGCATTAACAAAGATTTGAGCTTTTCCTAAAATAAAAAGTTTTAATAGATTGTTGACTTTTTTTAACTATGCACAATTAATAAAATAATATATTTTACATAAAACTTGTTAGTATAAAATAAGTATAACCAAAAGACTATGAATAAAAATACAAAAAATTCTATTGATAGAAATAACAAACATACTTGCAGCAGAATCATATGTTCCGGCAATATGTACCCACTGATCTGGATTCACATAATTGTCTCTTGTTTCTACATTAAATACGGTGTGTTTTGTTTCATCTATGTGTGTCCATTTAATCTTTCCATAATTTAATCTAAAATCATACTGTTGTTCATTGTGAGAAAATCCAACAGTAGAAAAAAGGACTTGCTGAGTGTTTGTGTTATTTACTTTAACCCATATGGCAATTGTAACAGCACTACCTGGCTTTGGGACAAGTTTGCTCCCATCAAAGGATACATCACCACCAACTAATCTGCAAGCAAACCCACAAGAATAATTTGTGTGCATTATTGTGGCTGCTCCTGAAATTAAGCCATTATTATCTTTTCCAGAAACATCAATAATTTTATCACCTTCAAATTGATCAAAACTGAGATGAACTGCTATAGAAGGTCTGAATGTTTCAAGATTAGCAAGACCATTTCGATGAAAGATTTTTTCTCGCTTGTTATGATTATCCACTTGGTAATTTTTCAGTTCATTGTCATAAGTAACAGCAGCAATTTCTTTTCCGTCTTTATTATATATTGGAATTAAATCTTTATTATAACGAGATTCAAATGGTTTGTAAATTTTTTTAGTGTGGAATGTTGCTCCATCTTTATCAGGTATAATTAAAGCAGGGTTTCCAGCATCCAAATGTGGAAAGTATTTTCCCATTTGATAATAACGAAGTGGTCGAGCAATCATAAGAGTCAATTTTTTTTTTGTGGTTGAGATATCAGATGGTTCAGATTCTTCTACTTCATGCAAAGCACTCTCTTCCATAGCAGTTTCAGGTGATTTGAACATAGCAAAAGCACGATCATCTTTTATAATTGTTACATTATCATTGTTTCCACCTATTACTCCAATAAGCTTTTTCTCATCAAGTTTTTTAGTCAAAGCTAAAATAATATTTTTTTTTTAATGAACGAAGTTTTAAATACATTTAAATGACAACTAACTTTTTAATGGTTTAATGTGTGGTTCAATGCGAGTCTAGTGGTTTAGTGTGTAGTTCAGTGCGAGTCTAGTGGTTTAGTGTGTGGCTCAGTGTGAGTCGTGGGTTAGTGTGTGGTTCAGATGTTTCTACTATCTATTTATGTAATTATATTTATAATTATAAAATTAAAAATCAAAAAAAGATTAAACTTACGCTGTCCTTTATCACATACTAAAGAACCTTTCATTGTTGGTAAAATGTCAGAGGATTTGTCAACAGTTTTTCTTAAAGGAGTAATTGGATCAGAAATTGGACCAGAAAAGTGAATTTTTAGAACAACTTCAGTCAAATTAACAGTACTCAAGCTCAATTGTTCCCGTTCACTATTTTTAAAAATATTAAAAATATAGTAAAATATTTATAAATATATAATTAATAAAATATTTATAAATATATTTTAGAAAACTATAATTTAGAATATGCAAATGCAATTACTATATACCTCAAAGATATGATTTCAACACGTTCATACTCTCGAATACCAACATAGACATTTAAAGCCATCTAAACATAAACCATGTTTATAACTTGTTATACATAATTATAACTTGTTATAGATTACAGTAATGACATAACTTTAAAAGCAAACAATTAAATTACCCATTTATGTATGTCATTATTAAGCTGCTTATATTCAAATGAATTCTTTTTTTTGAACTTCTTGTCAAATGGAATCAAAATGCAGAATTCTGCATCTATTTCTTTGCATGGACATTTTTCTAAAAGAAAAACTTTATGTTTAATAAAAAAAAAGTAGTTAAAAAAAAACATACAACAATTACATTTTATTATAATATTCACATTAATTTATACATATATTCATTATACATATTTATATTCAAATATTCAAAAACAAAAAAAATCAACATGCCTTCAGGACACCCTTCTTTATTAGGACCCTGAGCAGGCGAGTTACCATCTGCACAACACCCAAACCTTTCGTTATTGCAATCCATTCCTCCATAAGCATAACCAACTTTAGAAATAGCTTCCTGGGCAGGACTTCTCCTGTAACTACCCATGATTACTAATAAACCTCCAAAAACTCCAGAGTTTACAGTATCTTGAATTAACTTGAAATCATCATTGGGAACATCAATGAATGTTAAAATAGCGTTCACCAAAATGTACTGCACTCTTTTCAAGTCATTAGGTATTACATAAGGTTCCATATAAGCAATCTCAACATTTTTAAATAAAATTGGATAAAGCGTATAAATCTATTTAAAAATAAACAAAAGTATTTTAATGTTTAGTTTTGGCATTAAATTAATACTAAATAATATTATTAATATTTTGGTACCCAATATAAACATTTTTATTATTACTATTGTTATTAATAATATTACTATCAATATTATTGTCATTACTACTACTACTACTACTACTACTACTACTACTACTACTACTACTACTACTACTACTACTACTACTACTACTACTACTACTACTACTACTACTACTACTACTACTACTACTACTACTACTACTACTACTACTACTACTACTATTACTACTACTATTACTACTACTAGTTTTACTATTATTATTATTCAATACTTACTGTTTGATTTAAAGCAGACTTTATTTGAATATATGTTGGGTTTAAAGGTGAGTTTACACTGTCACTGAAAGGTTGCACAACAGCAAAAGATATTTTTGTTAGTATTTCATTCACAGTCTTTTTATCATTGTTTGATATCTGATTCACATTTTCATGTGTTGTATTTGTGATTAGTTTTGGCTGAGCTTTTTCTGGTTGAACCTCAACCAATACAAGAGATTCTTTCTTGCATTTTGTCTCACATTCTACCACACTCATAAAATTGTTTGCATTGCCGCCACATCCAGAATAAACAAAGAATTCACACTCTTTTGTTTGCAAATTAAAAAATATTTTTGTAATATGCATATTGCATTTACCCTTTTTAGCTTGGTATGTGCAAAGCTCTTTACTAACTAAAAAGAAAACTTTTTTTGTTTAATAAGAATACCATGAAAATGTAAAAAATATATCATTTATTTAAAAATCAACCTTTTTTGCAGTCTGGATGAGAACCATCAATTCTTCTTGTTCCAAGTAATTCCTGACCAAATTTGTCAACACACCAACATTGCTTTCCATAATACAAATGGGTAAAACATTGGCGACTTTTATAAGTTCCATCCTTGTTGCATTCTGGCGAGAAGCTATCACCACCTATCATTGGTGCTTTTGAAAGTTGTTTTTCTTTTTCACACTGTCCAATTTCTGTAAATAAAAAAAATATTGTATAAAAAAGTTAAGTTTAGTTGAACCACCTAATCGAAAAATTTTTTTTTTTAAAGTTTACAAACCTTTTAGTTTTGTTTGATTTGCAATAGCATTAAACACGTGAAGTGGTGTTGATGTAGTGGTTGGTCGATAAAATGTAGTCCAATATTTATTTGTTAAATTCTGATTACGAAATTCCAAACATTTTTCATTGGTAAGATTACCTGAATGAGCATCAACTTTTGAACCAATAATCTCCTGTCCATTTATGTCAACACACCAGCACCATTTACCAAACTTGGAATGTTCATAGCATTGAATAGGCTTATAATCTCCGTTTGATAAACAATCAGGCTTAAACATGTCAAAAGAATTTGGATCAGATGCAATTTTACGATCTCTGAAGCAACTTAATGAACTAGTGGTTACTCCATTATGTTCAGGAGTAACAGTTGTTGAAGCAATAGCACCATATGAATTTTCCATTCTTTGTGGTTTCATTAACTCATAGGCAGCTTCATTATCAAGCACTGCAAATGATTTGTTAGGTTTTTCCTTTAGAGTCTGAGCATTCGTCTCGTTTTGCATTGGAACTTTAAACTGTACTCTATAAACATCAGGATAATTAGCAGGAAAATGCAACCTATCAAAGCTGACTTCTACTTTGTTGCTTTTGATAACAACACCGGGAGATTCAGTGGTTGTAACAGTTTCAACTGGATTCGATAAAATAAGTGGTTTGCTAGTTGCTTTGTCCATTGAGCTGTTCAATAGAGAATTATTGCCGTCTTGATTTTGAACGGATTCTAAAACATAAGGCATTTTATTATTTTTCTGTAAAGTAGGAACAAAGTAAGGTTGCTGTGGTAAAGCTGGTTTTTTGTGTATTTGTTGAACACCAGAAGAAGTATCTTCAACAGCAATTTTTTTTGGAAAAGTCACTAAATTTCCATTTTCTAGATTTAAAGTATTGGATGAAGGTCCTTGTATAGAAGGAGCAACAAAAGTTTCAATTTGCTTTGGAATAACAGGGGTAAATGGAAGAATTGTAGGTTGTCCTATAACCTGGTAAGTTCCTTCATCAAGTTGCTTAGGAGTAGCATTTGAGTTTGAAAAAGTTGGGTACATACTTCCATTTGCTGGACCAGTTAATAATTCCTTATTTCTTTGATTGTATTGTCCAACAATTGTAGTTTCAATGCCTCCATTTTCATTTATTTTTTTATTTTCACCTAAATAAACATTTTGCTGTTTTAATGCATTAAAAGAATCTGTTTGCTCTGGTTTAAAAGATATACTATTAAGATTAATATTGCCAGATAATATGTTTTTAGATTCCTCAGAATCTATTGGAATATCTTTTTGTGAAATTTCTGCTACCATTGATTGCTGCATTGTTGCTCCATAAAGAGTTGTGTTACTACTCATTGGAACTGCTTTTTCATTTAACACAGGAAATTGTTGCACAAGTATAGGATTACTTTCATTTCTAAGTGAAGGACCATCTACATGATCTATATGAGAAACACCTTTTGTTGCAGTAAAATTTACTGGGGAAACTTGAGAAAAAATATTTGTAGATAAACTTTCTACTTCAGAAATATTCACTACTAAAGGAGGTTGTTGAATATTTAAAATAACAGGTCCAGACGCAATTACATTCACTGTGTTCATGGTTCTCTGTGGATTTCCATAATTTGAGCTAGATATCTGATCAAGATTTTGCTGAAATCCTATAGCAGAAATTGGAAGATTCTTAGGAGATTCAGAAATTAAGTTGTTCTCATAACTTTTTGATGATTCAACAAAAGGAGGTACTATAGTTGTTGCAATTGTTATTGCAGGAGTTGTTGTAGTTGCAGTTGCTGTTGTGGGAGCTGTTGTTGTGGGAACTGTTGTTGTGGGATCTGTTGTTGTTGGAGATATTGTTGTGGGAGATGTTGTTGTGGGAGATGTTGTTGTAGGAGATGTTGTTGTGGGAGATGTTGTCATGGGAGATATTGTTGAGGTTGTTGATGAAATATTTGCAAAATACTGTTTGTAAATTAGTGTCATATTTGATAACCATTGATCATAAGGAGACAAAGTTGTTGTTAAATCATCTGCAAGATGACTTGTTGACTGTATTGGTGGAAAAGTAGATTGTGCTGACAGTGTCTGTGGTACTGGTGAAGATGATTGCTCTTGTGGAGTATTCGATTGTTCTGGTGTAGAACTTGAATCACTTGTTGCTAACCAGGGGCTTAAAGTACTATTTAAATTACTGTAAGAAACTTGAGGTGTTGTAGATAAAACACGATATCCACTGTCTTCAGTTATATCACTTGCAATTTGACTTTGTGTTTCTAAAGATTGATATTGAAAATTCATTACAGCATTCATTGAAGCAGATGCAGAGGCTGAATTTGGAAAACTTTCATTTGTTTGCTGTAAATTTTGATCAATGTTAATCTCATTTAATTGCTCATTAATTTGAGGATCTGGGTTTACAACATGAATATCAAAATCATTACCATTATGCACAGTGTTTTCTGTTTGGTGATGGATATTAAGTTCACCATCAGATATAGTACCTGTTGTGTCACTACTTTGAGTCACACTTTCATGCTCAGATAATGCAATAAAAGTCTTTGAAGAGTCATTAGAAGCTATATTTTTTTCTTCCTTTGGTAAAAAAGGATTGAATGTTGGAGGTGAAGTAGTTGTATCACCATAGTAATTAACATAACGATTACCATTGTGTTCAATTGAGCTGTTTTGAATCATATCATTATAATATCTAGCATTGGCATTATTCCAAATTGGATTAGTATTTACTGAATTATTTGCTATTTCACTTTTTAATTTACCATAAATGTCATCTTCAAGTTCTATAGGCTGAGGCTTTGCACTTGGCATTTCTGATTGCGTTTCTGTTGGCCTATAAAATCTCGTTTCTTGACCCAAATTATTAGTCGATGCATTATTATATCCATTATTTATAGCTCCAATTGTTTCATTTTGAGTCTGAGCATTTAAATTATATTTTTCAGTTTCGCCTAATATTGGCGATACCTGTTTCCGCGAATCGTATAACTGATGAAGGTCATCACTTCGAACATATTTAGCTGTTCCTAAATAAAATTTAAAACAAATATTATAGAGTAAAACAAAGTCAAATGAAATAGTTAAGAGTTTTAATTTTTAATTTTAGTTGGGCAATTAAAATAGCATTTTAAAAAAGTAACCAATACTGTCAATTAAAAAATAATTAACAGTAAAATTTAAAAAACAACCAATTAATGATTTTAAAAAATTTACTCTTGTTATGTTGTTTTTAAAACTCATTGCTACATATTGCTTTGGCATGCATTTTCGACAAAGCTAAACCTTGAATTATGAGTTTTTGCACTGACACTAGTTACTATTTGTGACTTCTTGAAACTATATATTTGTGACTTGTTGAAATTTTATTTGCGACTTGTTAAATTTTATTTTAAACTATTATTTGTGACTTGTTGAAATTTTATATTTAAACTGCTGCTCATGAGCTGGTAAGGAAATTAAGTCAACAAAGTATTGTTTTTGATGCAATTAAGTACGACACGATGCGTCTATGCACTATCCCGACGGGCATTTGTTTTTACAAGTTACGTTCTAAATGTATTTTAAATGTCTTTTAAACGTTTTTTGCGTAAGAATGTTTAGAAGACGTTTAAAAGACATTTAAAATACATTTAGAACGTAACTTTTAAAAACAAATGCCCGTCGGGATGCGTCACTAAGTGGAAATAGGATTTCACTTACATTTCTTAAAGATTTTTTTTCTTTTTAGCTTTTTGAATTTTTTTATGGAATTTATAGTATTAGTTATAAAATATAGTTTATAATTATAAAAAGCATCTAAATTTTTTTCAACTTCGCTTTATTAAGATGGGAAATTCCAGAGTTAACAAACACATGTTTTAAATATTTCTTATGTTTAAAAAAGATTTTATATTTAATTCAGTTCGCAAAGATTAGATTAGAAAAAGATTAGATTGAATGGATGTTACTATAACGATAACCAGTTTTTTATTTGAGGCAAATTTTACGTTTTTTATAAGCGACACAGTGCGACGGATGACGTGTAAATTCTGCCACTAAAATATGAATACCTATAATCTGAAAACTATAACTAGATTTATTTAAATAACTAATTAAAAAGGTACTGGCACTTTTTTAAAAAGATTATATGGTATTTATTAATGGCGACAACGTGCACGCTAGGGAAATAGTCGGTAGTTAGTTTGATGAAGTCATTGCAAGTTCTACCGAAGCCCCAATCGGATAATTTAATAATAGTATCTACCAAGAGGTTGCGGCAAACCTCTTGTTTGTACCAGAGCCCGATTGTTTCACTTATGCTGCGAGTACAACTGTAAAGTGTTGTTTCTGATATGCTGAATGATTGAGTAGCTTTGTTTAGTGAAAGTTCGCCGCTTTGTATATTAGCTACTTCAAGCGAAACTCCCTCTTGTTTTTTTGCATCGAGTTTATAAAGACACATTTTATATTAGAGATTTTAAAATAATTTTTTAATTTAAACTTGTATGAAGAATTTATAGGAGTCAGTTTAAACTAGGGCCCTGCGAAGCTTCGAAATTTCAAATCGAATTGAATCAAAAATATGATTCGAGATACGATTCGAAAATTTTCAAAAATCGAATCCTTACTTATTTTGTTTTTGTTGTGGGTATTTTAGATATTCTGCGCTTTGGTGCTATCAAAATAACGTTACTTATCCTTAAATACCTTTATAATCAGTCATTAAAAAGGTTAACCAAGGCAAGAAAAATTAATGAAAATTAATGAACTAGAAAAAAATTAATGAACTAGAAAAAGTCCAACGAAGAGCTATCAAAATGATACCGGAGCTGTTTCTTGAGTACAAAAAAAGATTGGAAATTTTGGGTTTGACTACCTTGGAGACTAGAAGGCTAAGGTACGATTTGATCCAGCAATTCAAAATATTTAAAGGTATTGAAATCATTGATATTAAACAAAATCAAACAATGAACTCTATTTGCTCATCAGGTCCTGCATCTAACATTAGAGGAGCAAAACATCAAATGAAACCTGAATTGGTCAGAAATTGTTTGAAAAGGCAATATTTTTTCAGCAATAGAGTTGTCGATGGATGGAATAGTCTACCAGCCGAAGTTATTCAATCTACTACAGTTAAAAGCTTCAAATTAAACTTGCAATCGGTCGACTTAAAAGCAATAACAAACAAGATAAAAACCAAGAAAGCTTATTATTAACGTTTTTATTATTTAGTGACTGAACTAACTTGTTCATTAATTAATTTATACCGGCTGTCATAGATATTGCCTGGCGCTTTATCTCAACAGCATTAATTAATAATAATAAGAAGCATCAATAAAAGGATTATACAATTGTTTTGTTTTATTTTATTTTGAAATATATATTAATAAATAAAAAATGCGTAAATTTAGACTTCAAAATGTTGATTCGAATCGCGAATCAAAACCTGCTTTGATTCGAGATTCGATTCGAAAACTGCCGCAGGGCCCTAGTTTAAACATAATCGATAAAAGCTTTATTTTCCAAGTTAAGAATTAGCGTATTTCATTCAATCCCGTTGTTTAACTCGTAACTTTTTACTGGATATACCAAATTTAGTTTAAAAAAAGATTCTTGACTAGTATAAAAATAAGACACGTGTAAAGTTCACTGATACTAAATTTAATACCCCCATTTTTCCCTAGCTTTGTCACTTCCTATCTCCCTCTCCCCTCTCCAATCATCCAAGTAATAAAAATGTCAGTGGGTTTCAAAAAAATGTTAAAACTTTTAAAACCAAGTAACACAAAAAATAAAACCAATCTTTAGAGAATAAACATTAACAATTTAATTGCTATAAGATATAGGAATAGACACACACATATGCATAAACTGATAGAGAGTTTCAAGTATGTTTATTAAATCAAGTTGCTTTATAATATAAAAAAAATTACCTTGCAAAAATTCATCTTCATCAAGTTCTATGGGTTGATTAAAAAAGACTAGGTTTTCTCTTTTTGAATTGTGTCGTTTCAGACGTTGCCTTGACTTTTCTAAAGTAATATCAACATTATATAATTAAGAACACATTTAATTGCACCATTAATTCAGATTGATTATTTTATATTAGTATACTAGTGGTTTTGAACTTCAATTTAAGTGAGCTAGACAAATATAAAACTTTAAAATACAATAAAAATATTTAAAACTTTGCATCATAAATTTTATAGGTTTATTGAAACGTATAATTATTTCTAAATGCGATGTTACCCAAAACGTGAAAACGCATTAAAAACTTTTTAGCGTCTAAAAAAAAGTGTTTTTTTTTTAATTATATTTTGAAAAAATATATTTCAAGAGCCAAATATTTTAGAATCCAGCTATAAAACAATTCAATTCTAGAATTTTACTATAAAACAATTCAATTCTACAATCCCAATTACAAAATAATTCAGCCCTATAATTATCTATATTGATTATCAAAACCATTTGGTACAATTTGCATGAGAGTAGTATTGTTTTCTTTATATTCAAAAAAGGAAACTTTTTGACTTTTGATTAAAAACTGGTGAAATTTTGATTTTTAAACGGAGATCACATAATTAGATCTTTATACCGTTAAATCAAAAAACCAGATTTTATACTCATAAACGATTGTTATTTTTTGTTGTTGTTGTTGTTGTTGTTGTTTGTTTGTTTGTTTTTCAAAAAATTATATATATATATATTTTTTTTGAATTGTTAAATGCAGGTTTTTTCTAGACATAAAAAAATTTATTTAACTAATTCATAGATTGAAAAAAATAATAATAATAACATACTGTTAGCAACACTTCTAAACCTTTGTAGCTTGTTTGCTAACTTTTTATTTAGTTTGTAGTTTGGTTGCTAACTTTTTTTTTAGTTTTGTGGCTAGTTTGGTTTTTATAAAGGAGAAAAAAATGCAGCTTAACATCCCAGATTTAAATAAAATCACAGTTTAACAACCCGTCGGTTCAATCCGTCATTTCAAAAAATTTAGGCTTAACAATCTATATTACAAAAAATGTATCGGGACAGTCAAAAACAGATTGGTCGAGGTTTTACTTTTGCACGAACACAGTTTTGTTGTTTTGCAGGTTCTTTAAAACACTATAATTGCGTTTAAAATTTTTTAAATTAGAAAGTATAAAAGTCTAAACTAAAAGTGAAATAACTCACCAATAGGAATGGAAAAGCTGTAGTTGAATATTGCAAGTATGAAAATTGTTTGTACTGTATCAAAGGGCTTCATTTCTTTTCACTGCAAAGTTTTACAGTGAGATTCAACTGTTTATAGTAACAGTCTAAATGGAGCTGTTAACCACACAGCTTTGTTTGCAATTATCTATTATAAAAAGAGAAAATTCAATTTCAAAAAAAAGTTTTCAGAACTATCTGTTGTAGACATAATTTCTTGAAATTCCAGAAATTATAATTCAAATTAAAAATACTTTTTTTAAAAAAAAAAAATTAAGCAAAACTATAAAAGCTAAAGTTTAAATTTCAAGTTTAAAAAAGTAATAATAAATAATAATGAAAAATAAACAATAATGAAAATATTTAACAATCGGTTACCAGTACTTTTAGTATATTACGATAAACTACATAAATATTAAAATATATAAAATTTGTATGAGATTAAAATAATCATTCTTTGAAAGTAGACATTTCTTACCAAGCCAAACTAACCAATAACTTTTTAAAATCAATTTTATTTAATTCTTATACATTATTTTTATTGTTCTAATATTTAAAAAATTATTATTTTTAACTGCTGTAGAGTATATAATTTGATATGCAGATGTTTGCACTTAGTTTTACTAAATTTCGAGAGAGCACCGATTAACTGCTCAAGTTGCGGACATTTTGTTCTTTTGATCGTTTGGTGGAGACGAAAGCTGGAAAGATCAACTTTCTGCACACTGTTTAAAAACAAAAATAATTTTTGCAACAACTAAAATCGTTTTTTAAAATGAAAAATCTGCGCAAAAAAAATGCACGCAAAATGTTTTAAATGCAATATTTAAAATCGAGCTATAAATATATACTTAAAAGGTATATTTTTGGTTTCCAAATGTTTAAAAATGTACACTCCCTTCCCCCCCTCCCTTTCTAGATTATCGTTATAAAAACTTTTTAAGGATTCAAAAATGCCTAAGAGCCTAAAAACGATGCACACGAGCAATCATGCATAAATATTTTACGATTAACTTTTTAAAAGCATCTCTTAAACAATTTAAAATAAATTATCTCTATTTACGTAAGTTAAGTCTAAAAAGTATTCAAGCAAATAAATATTTCGTTTTCAAATCAGGATTTTTGATATCCGGTATCCGACCGGAAATGCGGTTATTCGACCGGAATAGGATTTTATATTTTTCAACGTATTTAAATCAATAAAAAAGTTACTTATAAGATACAATGACTTTTATATAATTTTGTAGTTATAATTTCTTAAAAACAAACTTCATTATTACAGTGAGATTATACTTTTTTCCAGTATGTTTTGCTAATGCATAACGGATTAAGACTTGAACGCTAATAAGCTAACTAAAAAAAGAGTGTTGGAAAACGTTCAAAGTGGCAACAGGTACTTTTCTAAGATTAAAGAGAGTCATATTTAAAAGATAAGGTTTTGTAAGTTTACTTTGTGAGATTTTTAGGAAAAATAAAACGGTTTTTTTTGGATCGGATAGATATAGGAAAGTTTGACATTTGAAAGAAACCGAATGGTTTTTAGATTTCGAATTAAACTTTTTTTTAAATTTCTGCGCTGTCACTTTGATACAACAATTTTTTTTTAATTTAATCTTTTAGGATATTATATTTTAAGATTTACCACATCTTTTTATTTAACAGATTGACTTTGTTTATTTTCAATAAAACCCATGAGTAAAAATTTGTCTTACACCACTTTTTCTTTTACCTGGCAATTTGTTAAAGATAAGCTGTGTAGAACCACTATATACTTGCAAATTTATGAGATAACCATGCTTAAAACCGCTGTTTACCAGTTTTTATTTATACTGAAAAAGCTGCTTGAAACCGGTTTTTAAAGCTTATTTGTTTGAGATAAGCATGGAACCGCTGTGTACCGACTCCTGTTCTAATATTTAACACTAAATCAAATAATAGACCCAGCTAACATAAAACGTTCAACAAACGTTGCGAACGTTCAAGAACGTTCATAGAACGTACTTAAACGCTCGCAACGTTTGTCCAACGTACTTGAACGTTTTGTGTTAGCTAGGGAGAGTGTTCTTTCTTTATTTTTGTCTCAATGGCTAAGTAAAAGACTTCCATCTCTTTACACTCCTTATATGCGTACAGATTAAAATTTTTTAAAATGTGTGTGTCTCAGTTAATTTAACTATTTTTCAGTTAAGTCAGCAATGAGTTGTGTCCCAAAAGAAAACTACTGATAAGCATAACTAAGGAAACCGTATTTTTAGCATAAAGTTTCCCGATTATGTTTGTTATACATTTTTCCAGCCTAACTTTATTTCTGGTCAAATTTTCAATTTGAAACTGTTGGAGTTATATAAAGCTTATTTTATTACTTTGTATTAGCTTCTCAAACATTTAATACAACTTTTATTCTTTTGAGGTAAAAAGAAGCTCCTTATGACGCCGCGCGTTCGCGCTTTTCAAAGACACCTTGTTTGATTCTATTTAGAATATCTGCTTTTAATTTTTCCTAACAGTTTATGATAGTGTTTAAATCTGCTAAAGTACTTAATAATACAACAAATACGTTAAATACACTTTATTTATGCCTTAATAATTGTCCCATCGTACATAAAAATACTACCGTTTTTAATTCAAAACCAATTACACACATTGTTTCTTTGAGAAAAAAAAAATTTTCATGAAGATGTCTTTGGCATCCTTATTATTATTTTTTTTCACATAGCTTAAGCTATATGAGAAAAAATAGATAAAAATTATTATTTTTAAAACAAAAAAAATTACATGACGACATTACGGTCAAGTTTTTAAACACTTGAGTAACTCTTTGGACGTAATTTTGATTTGTTGCGACGTAATTGGTTAGGTAAAAATCTTTTAAATTTAAGGGGTTTGAAGGCTTGTTGTCAAATGTTGTTGCATAAAATTGGAAGTTTATTGAATATAAACGTTTTATAAACTCGTTGTTCTCACATTAGAAGTGAAAGGAAACCAAAATTTTAGGATTTCCAGGCTCCAATTATGGCAATCTTTTGCATAGCAACTTAATTTCACACAGGCATAAACATAAAAATAGCCTGTATGGCATTGACATATTGTTTATGTGTTTTAAATTTGGAATTTTGCGTGCAACATATTGTTTATAAGTTTTAAGTGCAACATTATTGTTATATGCTTGTCGTATTGCATCAAAACCAATCAAAGGTAATTGAAATTCTTAAAATATTATTAGAGTTTTCTGATTATTATGTAACTACTATCATTTTCTCAAGAAAAAAGTATTTACACAGACAATACTTTTTTTCTTGGAAATTTCACAATCAATTATAGTTCATAGCAAAAATTCATTTTTATCTTTGTTTAAAATATCGATTGTATATTTTAGTGAATTTTATATTTTACTAAAGTATGAGTTTTATTCATTAAACAAAGTCAAAATTTCAAGTTAACTACGAGTTTTAAACTAATTGGATTAAACTAGCAGAAAATTTACTATCAGGTACCCGGCCGAATATCCCAAATATTTTATGCTTGTGTTCTATTTAAATCTATGGCGTAGTATCTAAATAACTAACTAGTGTTTCCAATCATATAACAGACCGTTCACCTTAATTTCCAGTATCTCTTTAAATAAACGTTTTTTTTTTAATGTATATTCAAAATCTTTTGTGCAGAAGCAACATATTTTAACTACAACGGGTCAGGTTCAGAACCACCACGATCAACCAAATACTAATAACATGTAATCCAGTACATCCTGCCCCATGTCCTGGTGCCAAGTAGAAGGCAAAGATAAAAGAGTAAACTATTACTAAAACTAACCCTGTTTTAGGTCTCTTGGTAACACCATCTCTAGCCTTAGAAAAGACTAGAGATAGTGTTACAAGACAGCAGGATGCTGTTTTGTAACGCTATATTGCTGTAACAGGCTTCTTAGAAAAAAACCTCAAGGATAAAAAGAAAAATTCTGTTGACCAGCCAAAGACTGGTCAACAGAATTTTTCTTCACCTATTAGTCTGGTGTATATGTAAGTCTGTGTTATATTGTTTCTTACCTGATAATGACTGATGGATCTTCTTGACTCAACTCAAGGGATTTTGCTCTGCCACCATAATAGTAATTATGTTACTCTTCCTGTTATCTTTTTATAAGGCTACAGCTCTAAATCTCAATTTAATAGTTCTGAAGCTGGCTGATAATATTGTTTTTTGAACTCTGTGGCAGTTCTTAAAGAGTATGATTCCATTAACAGCATCAAAATGTCAGAGTATTACCAGTGTAGTCTTGCGCATAGATAGAATTCCTTACAAGGAGTTCTTTGTTATGACTTTAGGTTTATATAGTCTCAAAACAACCTATTTTTTGTAAAATCAAGTTTGAATGCTGTGACCATTCTTTTATGTGAATCATTTAAACTTTTCTCTGTATCTCGTTCTAAAGTTTAAAACCTCTTGAATACATTTGAAAAATGTTTGAATGACTTTTTTTTATTATTGACTTATAGATTGATTTATTTTGACTTATAGAAAACTTTCTCTAATACTAAAAACAGGTTTTTAATATTAGAGAAAGTCTTCTATAAGTGGAAATCATACAAAAGTTTTTAAAATAATCACCAATAATAAAACCATTATTTTAGATTTTATTGCATAAAAAATGACAGAAATATTTCTACTCTTTATCGCTCTCATTTATTTTAAGACTGCACTCTTTTCGATGTGTTTTTGTGAAAAATTCATACCTGGTACACCTTTAGGATGGATGTAACTTTGATATGGACGTTATTTATAATTTAAGTTTTCATTAGGGTAGTAGTGATATTGATTTTCAAGAAAAGTACGGAAAACAAACTGTTACAAATCTTAAGGGTGCGTAGGGTATTTGAGGACAAATTGATATCAAAACTAATTTATTTATATTTTTTTTCAAAATTTATTATAGTTTCTTAAAATTTTTACATAAAGTTAATTGACTCTTAGGCTATATAATTATTTAATAAAATCCCCATTAAACGGACTTAATCCGAGATCAGAAACAACCCAGTCAGCACTGACCTAAAAAGACGTCTTTTAAACGTCTTATACACGTTTTAGAAGTCTTTTGAACATCTTTTGAACGTTTTAGACGTCTTTTGAACGTTCGAAAGACGTCTTTTTTAGGTCCGGTGCCTACTGGGAACTGCATGCCCGAATCAAAAGCTCTTTGTTCATGTTGATCCTTGTGGTTGTTATAGCATCCTTCAGCGATGAAATAGTGTTATTGGGATGTTTATTGGTCTCTCGCTCAACTGCGCCCCATACGTAATAATTAAGAGGGTTTAAGATCCGGGGAGCTAGGTGGCCATAAGTTTGGGGTGATTTGGTCATAAAATTTCCGGCCATCCAATCATGTGTCGACTTTCTGCACAGGAGCAGAATCTAGCTAGAATACCTATAGTCTATCCCCAAGTACACTATCAATCCAGGGTTTCACAACTGTTTCTAAAACTTTAATGTAGGCGACAGCATTTGCCCGAAACCCTTTTAAAAAGGAGTGAGGTCGCATAACAAAACTATAAAAATCAATGTTTGATAGCCTATATAAAATTTATAAAAAAAAAGAATTCAAAAAAATCTTTGAACTAGTTTTGAATAAAAGTTTTGGTAGCAAATGCCCTATTTTTACCCTTTTTTTTTGAAAGGACGACAAGGAAAAATATGTACTCTATTTTTCCCTTATCTCTTAAACATATTTTGAAGGTTCTACATATATTATTATTATTATTATTTTCTATTAAATACCCAGTAATAAAATTACAGGTAAATTAATTTATATTAAAACAGTTACAAATTAAATTCTCGGCTCTCCAAATATTTGTCTTTAATGCCAAAAATCAAAGTTCCATAACAAAACTACCGTTAGCCGAAACTGATAATTTAAAACTGGTTGCAGTTTTTATAAGCAATTCTTGTAATCAAATTTTGTTACTTAAATGAACATAACTTTTTGTAAAATTGTTGTTTTGTTATGAGATTTTCATTATTGTAATGCTGATTTTAGCCTCTTTTCAATGATATATAATAATCAATAATAAAAATAGTTTAAAACTTTTACACACGTGCCTAAATTAATAAGTTTCAAATTAACGGAACTAATACTATTAGTTCCGTTAATTTGAATGTTATTGGAAATTGAACTTTTACCAGAGGTCAGAATTCCGTTTTCTTAGTGTTTAGCTTGATAAAGTTTAATATTCCATATGTTTGAAAGCAAAATTACATCATCTGCGTATGCAATGATACCAGCATAGATGCCATTTATTGTTGACCCTACTTTACATTCTGAGACTATTTCATTTAAGATGTTTTTGGTATAAATGCTATATAAATATGGCGATAAAATAGACCCTTGTCGCACCCCTTGTGACAAACTAAATTGATCTGAGGTAACTCTCTGTATATATATGCTTTCATAAAATTATTCATAATATATGCTTTCATAAAATTATTTATCTAGCTGCTAGTATCTGGTACTTTTTTTAATACTTGCTGTAAAGTTAAAGATGTTTTGTCTTTAAGTTTTTTTTTTACGTTTTAAAATAAAAGAAAAAATGTACATATATATATATATATATATATATATATATATATATATATATATATATATATATATATATATATATATATATATATATATATATATATATATATATATATATATATATATATATATATATATATATATATATATATATATATATATATATATATATATATATATATATATGTATATATATATATATATATATATATGTATATATATATATATGTATATATATATATATATATATATATATATATATATATATATATATATATATATATATATATATATATATATATATATACAGGCCCGCCGCGACACTTTATGGCGCCCGGGGTCAAAACTTATCTAGCGCCCTGTCATATTGATCTAATTCAAAAGTTTAGGTACTGTCCAAATACTGTTTTTTTTTTTTTTTTTTTTCAACTAAATTCACTTTTAAAGGCTGAGGGAGTAAATACAGTCAAGGAGGCTTCTATTTATTTTTAAAATAAATTTGAAATAAAAGTAAAAAAGAAGCACAAGTTGACAAGTTACTGAACTTTATTACATTGCGAGTAACAAAAAGTTTTAAATGTAATAGATATTTCAATTGCTTCATGAGAACTTGGTAAGCCGGTCTTGACTTATTGTAGATCTTAATAATGTCTAGACCAAGCTTACTGAAAGATTACTCTTTCGGAAATGGAAACGAGAATCGTTTTAAAAATACGTAACAAAATGCCTATTGATTCGAAGATAGACTCTAGACCTTTTTAATAGATTCCATTTAATACCTTCATTAAAGTGAGATATTCTTTTGCACTGAAAAGCTTGATGTGCTTCAGAATATCTAGATGATGGACTTCTAAAATTGGTTTGTTTTCATCTACATTGTTCTCATAGATTTGCGCCAAAGTTTTAGATTTCTCCTCCAGGCTAGGTAGTTCAACTTTCTTCACTCGGTCTACTATTAGATTCCGAAAACCATAGGAAGGAGCAACTGTTTGTCAATTTTTCCGCAGCTCGAAATCTGCCTCTTATTTGTTGAATTAAAGTATCGAGAGCGGTGTTCTTCAGCCGTTTTTCAAAACGCCTTAAGGTAAAAAAAATCAAAATTGACTTTTTTAGAAAATAAGCTTACTTAGGTGCCTGCAAAGATTATTGAATAATCGTTTTTAAAGAAATTTAAAAAAGTTCATACAAATTATAATTTTCAAAAAACGTTTTACAAAAACTTTCTTGTATTATTATTTTTAATTGCGTTTTTCTCAAAATACGTAAAAAGCATCTAAAGGCATTTTGAAAAACGGGTACAGTGTTAAATACGTTCACTTCAAACTGCTTTTCATCGTTTTCGTAGAAATGAACTTCATCCCTTGCTTCTTTGTAAAAGGTTTTCCTCTTCCTTCTCCTTTTTGAACTAACTTTGACTAAAACCCATAACTAGCTAGACCGGAGGTAACCAAATGTGCTTCATTAATTAATTTGGGCCAAGAATATCTAAATTCATAAGATTCTCGATAGAAACCCTCATAAGCTTTATATCTTCATCTAAAGTAATGTTTCCTGATTGAAATGACGCGCTGACAATTGCTTGGCGCGCTTCGAACCAGAAAGTTGTCATGATAATAAACTCAAATGAATAAATCAATTTCTCCAAAGATTTTACGTCATTCAATAGATTAGCAGTTAAATCAAGTTCCTGATGTTTCTGCAAAGAAAAAATCATTTCTCTGGGTTGCTTAACCAACGGCTTCAAAGTCTCAATCCGTGCACTCCATCGGGTTTGTGAGGTTTAATGAAGAGACAAACCAGTTGTCTTGGTCAAGATTTGACATTATAAAGGGCTTCCACTAAAAAGATTGTAGAGTAACTGAATCCGTCCACAATAGTTCTTCATTTCTACAGAAGATTCAAAGGAATGAACACCAGCTAAGTTAAGGTTATGAGCGCTGCATAGCATGTAGAAAGTTTCAGGATTTCTCTGAAGGATGATCGCTTTTACTCCTTTGTACACACCAGACATGTTGGCACCGTTGTTGTACCCTTGACCTCGATAGTTCTTCAGATTGATGTCATTTAGATCATAGAAATCCATAATTATCTTGGCAATATCCACAATTTTCTTTTGTTTAAGATTTTCAACATTAAGAAAGCGCTCCTTAACTACCTGTCTTTTATCAATACCATTGTAGACAGAGCGGAGAACAAATGCAATTTGCTCAGTATAAGAGACATCAGGCGTTCTGTCGACAAGAATAAAATAATAAATTACTATATGCGCATCTTTAATGATGGCATCGTGGACAATTCTTCAGCACTTTTTTATAAATTCATTTTGGGAACTCCAACCCAGAAAATGCACAATAATTTGTTTACCTTCATGTTGACATCAGGAAACCTCATTCTGATGTAACTAAAGGGTCTTGTTGTGCTTTGCGAGTAGCTCTAGAGTTGCAAGAAAGTTACCGTTATCGTCATCATTGATCATTTTTGAAGAGTCTAAAACGACGATTTTAATTCATACATGTAATAATACATGTTTACACATATAAACCGTGACTTTCTGTTTGATTTTAATAAAGATAAATTATGACATAAATATAAATATAATAATTAACATTCACTAATATACCTTTAAAGCGTGATGCTAAGAAGAGAATTACATCTAAGATGCACTTTAAAATTTCACGCTGCCTGGCTGCCTCATTTCTTATCGATTTTTCTAAACTTGAATCCATCTCGCACTGGTTTCCCTTTTAGCGCTGTTTTCCACCTATTGTAATAATCTCGATGGATTGTTTTGGTGGCATTTTATATATATATATATAAATATATATATATATATATATATATATATATATATATATATATATATATATATATATATATATAATATATATATATATATATATATATATATATATATATATATATATATATATATATATATATATATATATATATATATATATATATATATATATATATATATATATATATATATATATATATATATATATATATATATATATATATATATATATATATATGTACATAACCGCAACGGTTTTGGCTAGTGTTAGACTCCCGAATATGAATTTGGCTAATGCTGTATTGTTGAATAAACAATTCATTTTCAAAATACGAGTTTAAAGAGTGATTCATTAAAGTCCTGTGTCTCTATTTTATTATTAAAAAAAAAAAGTTTTCATTTGTGCGCCCCTTCTGATCCAGCCCAGGTAAAAAGTACCCAGTGACCCTCCCCACGCGGCGGCCCTGTATATATATATATATATATATATATATATATATATATATATATATATATATATATATATATATATATATATATATGTACATGTTTTTTATTTTATTTTAAAACATAATCTTTTTTAGAATGCAGAAAAATTTGCTCTAATTTTTGAACTTGATAAAGATGTTACATTTGATTTTGTGTACATTGTTATCTAGCTTTCTAATTGACACTTCATTATTTAAGGAGTTTTGAGCTTCTTGTGCCTCTTTTGTGAAGAGCCACAAAAAGCTCAAAATGAAAACTTAAAGAAGTTTTGTGAATCATTTTTCAAAAATTGTTTGCGGTCAAAAAGAAAATAAAGATTTATCAAGGCAACTGATATGTTCTTTTAACCCTTTAATAAGTAATTTGAGAAAGTAATATTCTAAGAGTAATGCTTTTCTAATTGGCATTCTAAATATACTAAAAGAGGTTCCAATTTTTAATTAACTATAAATTACAATTGCATAATTTTGAATTTAGTTGGTATCTAAAGTGTTGTTTACTTTATAAGTATTTATTATTTATATAATAAAATAATGCATGTTATGTAAATAAACGTTTTTTTGAAAATACAAATTTGCTTGTACTCTTACATATACTTTATAAAGTATTCAATAGCTCTAACTGTGTTAACACTTGTTGATTTTTACTTGGTTGCTAAGGACATGTGAACTACATAGATACAATTAATTCGAATTTTATTAACTGTGTCTTTAAACCCCTTTGAGGTAAGATTGTTTTCAAAGTTTTAATTTCATTTTTGAATTAAACTGGTTTCTAAGAGCCCAAAACGGCATAGCAACACCAAAAATTACTAATTTTTGTTTGCATCATTTATACATATAAAATAGCATCGTAGCAATAATATCAGTTTAGTTTATAAATTTGACATTTTAAGAAAGTCTCTTAACTTAGGTAACTATGCAAAATACACTGTTGCTATGGAATATAGGTATCCATAGCAACTTAATAAACAATCTAATGGTACCATTAAATTCGTATGTTATTACTTTTGTCCAGCTAATAATTATTTTAGCCCACTGTGCTCTGTAGGATTTGAACATAATAACATGTCATTTCTCCAATTGGCTTTTTGGTCTTGGTCAGAAAAAACCATAACATGTCATCAACTACAAGGTGCTTAAGCTTGTTCAAGAGAAGTTTTCCTCAAATAAGTCTCTGATTCCGAGTTTGCGCCGACATTACCAATAACATAGGACTTATACCAGAGGTCTTTGTGGACAGCTCGATGGATTAGACCCTAAGAGATATTAAGGTCCCTCGCAATGGCTCTCATGGACTTTGAAGGGCTTTTGTGAACGATCTCTTGTACTTGTTGGACAAATTGTATATTTCTAATTGTGTCCGAGCGTTCCTCTTGTCTTTTGCAATTTGCAACAGTTTCTACATCGTCAGCTGATGCTTCCCATACCCGACGAACCTTATGTACGAATGATCGGGCGCAGTTAAAAAAATTGGCCAACTCTTAAACCACTAAATATCGGCCTAGTGGTCTTTAAGTCTGGTCTTTACCTATTCGTTTCGATTAATTATCAAGGAACTAATAAGTAAGTTTCATAACTCTTGTTTACAAGTTTACTTATTGTAATCTTCCATATAAAAAATTATTCTTAATTCAAAAATAAAGTTATTATATTTATGACACAAGAATAACATTAAAATTATATTTTAGAAATGAGGAGTCAAAATAAAGAAAGTTATAATATTCTTATATGGAAGGTTAGAATATTGTTAATTTATATGATATTAATTCAATAAGAGATATAAAAAGATGATATGTTAATAAGGGTTAGGGTAACAACATCAGTTTTTGCCATGTCTAATAACATCTGTCCAACAACATCTGAAATTTCATTGTCTCATAACATCTGTGCAAAAATTAAATGAATATTACTAATGTAGTTACATCTTTTAAATTATCAATGTGTAATAACATCTGTGCAGTTACATCTGTAGATTTTAAGATGAAGTTATTTTTAAAATGAGTTAACTAATAATGCATTATTTTAACCAGATGTAGCTACATATAGATTTTTTTTTGGATGTAACTACATCTGGACAAAATTCTTCCAGATGTTATTGGACTTGGAGAAAAATTACCAAATGTAGTTACATCTTTCTAAAGATGGTGTTAGGGTTGTTGAATTTTCAGATGACATTGGACAGATGTTATTAGAGTACAGATGATCTTGGACTAAAGTGTTCAGATGATTTTGGACTACTCCACAGGTGTTGTTGGACAGATGTAGTAATCTTTTACTGTAAATAATACTGATATATTCAGTTTAATATTCTATTATATAAAGATTATATAGAGATAAATTTGTATATCTTTAGACTAGGAAGAAGTTCAGAACTTTTTCAGAAGTAAGCCGCAATATATAGGTATGTTACATGAAGTTTCTAAATTGAATAATTTATAGATTATTATACATCACTGGAAAGAAAAAAAGTTAAACAGTTCTGCAAAAGGTTATAAGGTTTTAAAAAACAAATTTCTGATATATAGATTTGTTGAAGAAACTGTGTTCAAAATTGAGTTTTTCTCATGGTAATTTATTATAACTTTGTCAATTCTTATTAAAATGCCAACAACTTGGTATCAAAAGAAAGGTTAAGAGTGGGCTACAAAATTTTAATAGTTTTAAGCAGCAGGTGTGTTTAGGAGGCTAGAAATACATACATACATATATATATATATATATATATATATATATATATATATATATATATATATATATATATATATATATATATATATATATATATATATATATATATATATATATATATATATATATATATATATATATATATATATATATATATATATATATATATATATATATATATATATATATATATATATATATATATATATATATATATATATTATATATATATATATATATATATATATATATATATATATATATATATATATATATATATATATATATATATATATATATATATATATATATATATATATATATATATATATATATATATATATATATATATATATATATATATATATATATATATATATATATATATATATATATATATATATATATATATATATATATATATATATATATATATATATATATATATATATATATATATATATATATATATATATATATATATATATATATATATATATATATATATATATATATATATATATATATATATATATATATATATATATATATATATATATATATATATATATATATATATATATATATATATATATATATATATATATATATATATATATATATATATATATATATATATATATATATATATATATATATATATATATATATATATATATATATATATATATATATATATATATAGGCCTTAACTGCCTTGCCTGAGAAAAACTAAAAATTATTTTGAAACAAAAATTGTAATTAATTTGTTATGGCTTTTAGTAAATGAATAAAAATTTAAATTTTAATAATGAAATTTCATAGTCATTGTTAACGATCGGCACAATGAGAACATACTCCACAGCCTGAGAAAAACTAAAAATTATTTTGAAACAAAAATTGTAATTAATTTGTCATGGCTTTTAGTAAATGAATAAAAATTTAAATTTTAATAATGAAATTTCATAGTCATTGTTAACGATCGGCACAATGAGAACATACTCCACAGCCATCTATTATATAAATTGCAAGTCGCATCTCTTTTAGTTTAGTCATTTCATCATAGTTTAGTCATACTCATACAACTTTTTATTCAGTGTAATACATGTGAAAATTAACAAAGGCATGAAAAAGTTGACATGTGCGTGCACAGAGATTGACTTGGTACCTTTTTACAAATTATGCTACTTGCGGCACCAAATTTGCAATTCACACCACTAGCAGGTTCCAATTTGCAAGTCACACCATATGCGGCACCTAATTTGCAAGTCACATTACCTGCAGGTAACTTTTTGCAAGTCACACCACTTGCATCACCTGATTTGCAAGTCTACACCACTTGGGTGTGTGGACTTGCAAAACAAATGAAATATTTTTACATTGTTTTGTTCACTTAGAACAAAACAATGTAAAAATATTTCATTTGTTTAAGAAAAAATTACAAAAACAATCTTTGTTTTTAGTTTATCTGACACATCATTGGTGTTGTTATTTAGTATATGTTATAAATATCAACAACAAAGTTTCCATTCTGAGGCATTACATTGTTGTATACATACTTTTTATTTTGTAATTAATTTTTTTGTTTTATAAGTTTTTGTTTGGTGATATATTTGTTGTATATCTTTGTTCATTTTAGTGTTTATAAAAAAAATTATTTTATATTATTGTAAGTATTGTTTGGGTACATTGTCTGTCTTATTATTTTTATAATATTCCTCTATTAATCTTTATTTTTGTCTTGATTACTGTCAAAATATGCCTTATTCAAAAAATAATTCTTCTTTTTTCTAATGTACCATTTCTTCCCTCAGACGTTCACTGCTTGTGTGTGACACAAGCAGTGAACGCCATGTACTCTCAAGTCCCTAATACATGGCTGAGGGGGATGTCTATTAATTTTTCAAAAATTTTATTCTCCTGGAAAATTTTATTCCAGACTTTATAAGTATTATATTGATAGATTCATGCCCAATAATATTAGACATAATAATCTTTGAATTATGAGACAAATATTAGTAATATATTACTAAGATATGATATTATATATACATAAAAAAACATTATATTATTATATATTATAGACCTATTAAAAAATGTAATAATATGATTGGACTGAGCAAATAACATTATTATATATTTTATATATAATTCATTACTTTTACATTAATACTTTATAAATGTAATATTTGTACAAATATCACAAAATCATTATATAGAAAAATCACATAAACTTTTTTATAATGTTTATTGGCTTACAAAAAAAAATATTAAATATATCCTTCAGCTTCCCCCCCCCCCTACCTGCTTTTACCTCAAACCAAAATTGCAAAAACAAAGTTTAAGTAACAAAACTGAGGGTAAAAATAGAGTATCTGCTAGTCAAAATAAATTCTTGAAATTGTGCATAGAAAATTTATAAGCTTTAAAAAAAGAATAAGATATTTTCATATTTCAAAGAAAAAAAAGATCTTTTCCACATCTACTAATCACAAGAAGTACAACATTTTAGTAGTACAAAGTTTTTGATATGATTTTTGATAAAATTTTAGCGTTTTTCATTATAAGAGGCTTCTATACTGTTTTTGACAGTGTTGACCGTATTTGGGCGCCAAAAATTTGAAATTTGAGGCCCTTTTTTTTTACTTTTTTTATGGCAAATATTGTTTTTTTTTGCAAAAACTTAAATTTTCTGCTAAATTTCTCTGGGACGGAGAGGTACCGCTGCCCAAATTTTTTTCCTAGACAACAATTTGTATGTATAAACTATCTTGTTGGTTATTTCAATATTTGAAGAAGTTTTCTGAGTAAATTAGGAGGTTGTTTAAATGTCAATACTGGATGATTATTGTATAAGATATTTTTAACTTTTTCATTAGCAGAAACTTAAAGTAAAAGGTTTGGTTCAGTAACATAAGGTTGACAATTAAGATTTTTTATTATTACTATAAGGGAATGTTATTTTCTTTTTTTCTTTTTTTTATTAAATAAATTTAATATTTAAAAAAATGTTTGATATTAACAAATTTCTTTCTTCTCTCGATATTTGCATAAATGAATTAAAATATGTTAAATTTTTGAATTTTTAAACCTAGATTTTTTTCCTAGAATACAATAAAAAATAATCCCTTACAATTAAAAAATGCTCTTAAAAAAGTTTGACTATACTACTAAAAAAAATTTTAAAAGTTCTAAAAATTATTCTACAAAACATCATACTGCCAAACGCAAAGTTCTAAAAGCGTGGAACAGAATTTTAGCACAAAAATTGGTTCTGTAAGACGTGGGATTTGACATGCTTACTATATAATTATATATACTACATATAGTAGCAGTTGCATATATTATAGTTTTAATTAAGATAAAAAATACATAAAATAATTTTATGATGTACCCGAAACTTGGTTATTGTTTATTTATTTGCTTTTTTGATTGATGTTTTCATAAACCAGTGAGCTTTGAAAATATGGTTAAACTTTATTCATTTAGCTAATGATAATTGACTTTCAAGTTTTTTAAATACTAATCTTTTGAGTAAAGAAAATTTTTGTAATTTACAGAGTTTGGTTACATAGTGAAAATATCTAATAATATCATAATTTAAAATAAAACATTAAATATAATTTAAATTAAAACTATCAAGACACTTTTTACTCTATTAAAATATAAATCTTTTTTTATGTTGAATAAGTGAATATTTTGAAAATTAATTTTGTGTATATATATTGGATGTTCAGTGATCAGTGCAGAAGAGCTCTTGCCATGTAAGCTACCTTTGTATGAGAAGGATAGATAAAATATATATAAATATATATATATATATATATATATATATATATATATATATATATATATATATATATATATATATATATATATATATATATATATATATATATATATATATATAAATAAATAAACCCTCGCAATCAGGAAAAATGAGGTTGACCTCAAACTGTTACAGGTCAACGAAAAAATTTGATAAAGAAGTTACCATAAAACATAAAAACGAGGACAGTGATTTTTTGCCAACCTCAAAATTGTTAAGGTCAGCATTGCCAAATAATGACCTTAAAGGGCAATAATTCCAAGGGCTGACATATATATATATATATATATATATATATATATATACATATATATATATATATATATATATATATATATATATATATATATATATATATATATATATATATATATATATTTTTTTTACCATCTGCAATTTGTTAATTATAACTATTTTTTATGTTTAGTGGAAGTAATGGATAAACTAAGCCTGCAATTCAAAGCAAAGCAAGTCAGTCAATTTTGTTGTTGTAGTTGTTGCTCTTTTTAAATTACACATTTTTTAGTTTTCATAAATTTATTCTATATAAGGAAAGTTAGTTTCTATTTTAATGTTTATAAGTTTTTTTATTTTATTTATAAAAATTGGAAGATTCAATTGGTAAACAAAGTTTAATTATATTTTGTTTGTGTTTATTATAGATTATATAGCATTTTACTTCTAAAAAATTCTATTCTATGGTCTTATTTTGATAAACTTTTTACATCTTTTTTTAGGACTTATATTACAGCAACTTAGTAAATATATTGTCATGTGTTTTTTTTTTTGTTTTGTGTTTATTGGTTGTGTTTTTATTCTCTGGAAAATGTGCTGTTATAGGGGTAAATTATTATACTCGCTCAAAGCTAGTAATTGACTGGGGTTGATAATTGGCTGGGGCCGGATTGGATAAAATATAGCCGGGGCTGTGTAAACATTTATACATCTTAAGTATATTTTTTTATTCAAAATTCATTTTATATTTTGTATATATAATATATATACAAAATATAAAATAAATATGTATGCATATATAAACATCATTATGATCAGCATGATCGTCATAATAATCATTACCATCATCATTATCATTCATATTTTTCACTATCGTGAGCAGTTGCTTTATTAATCATTTTTTATTCTTTTCATCTTTTTTACAAGAACATATACCATAGGAACAAATGTCCTTTTATTATTCCAAAAAGCCAATGTAAAAAGGTCCCGTCTGATGTGATTCTCACTTTACTAAATCTTGTATCTTATATCAGATGTTCTAGAGACTTTTGGTTAGTCTTCAACAATGTCATTAACTAAAGTAAGTCTAACATTTAATCTTATTAGTTATATAATATTGAAAAATATTTAATTTGTAAAAAATGCTAAATAAGTGGTTCCAATTTTTCAAAACTCTAGAAACACATTGACCTCTTTTTGACTATCCTACGATTAGACTTCACTTGTGTCTTGAGATTATTAAATTATTTATTACTAACTGCAGTTCTTGAAGTCCTACACTCTTCTTTATTTCAAGTAACTTTAAGGGTACCACAAGATAATTTGTGGTACCCTTAAATCTTTGCTCCTGTATTGTTTCTTATCTACAATATCCATTTTCATAAAAATTTAACATCTAAAGTGGCTCTATTTGTTGACAACTCAATTCTATACTCTTTTTTTTGACAAAAAATCTTCACTTTTTAAATTGCTTGGAACAAGCTGCTGATTTTAATCTGGTCTCTCTTTTGTAACAGCCTTAGACTTGCTGTGGCTTATATGGGTTTAAATTATTTTGGAATTATAATGAAATTAAATTATTATGGATTTAAATTCTGGACTTAAAATCTGCAATTTTTGTTAGCCAACAAAACTCATTTATTTTGCAAAAAAATATTGCAATAATGTTGATACACCTATATTGATGAATAACAACCCTCTTACTCTCAGACAAAGTCTAAAAGTACATTAGGGTCATTCCATGCCAAATGGACTGAAAGTTTGGGATTCCAACATGAACCCCCTCAGATTTTAATGAAACTTGGTGGGTGGTTTATATCAACAAGAAAAGCGATTCTTGAAAATTTTAGCTTAAAATCTTTTGTGGTTCATGAGATATCGCCATTTGAAATTTGAAATGCGCAAAACAAGAATTCTTGTTTTGCGCATAATGACACTTCATGCATTTAAAAAAAAATCAGTGAAACCATCAATAATAAATTTCTTTTAAGGTTAAGGTTCTGTGCAAAAATATGCATGTTAAAAAGTAAATGGACAGGAGGAGGGGAGGCAACTAAGGCTGTTCTAAAACTGAGTTTAATTCATTCATTATAGCTTATTTCTAATGATGATATACATATATATCATATATTTATACATATATATTTTTTGCATTGCAGTAGATAATGAAAACTAAAGTACATCAATACCTATATTTTTATTGTTTTTAATGTATTTTGTGCCAACTTAATTGCTCTGACTTTGTCACTTCCCCTTGAGTACCCACTAATTTTTTTCTGAAATCACTTTAATAAAGTCTGTTTACCTAGTAAAAAAAATTTTTTTAATGAAAATCAGTGTAGGTTACGGTTAGTTTAAAGGGAAGGTACAATTTTTAAAGTTTTACCTGGAGCCATTTTTAGGAGTCAATTATTTCTTACTGAATCATATGTTTTTAGGAGTCAATTATTTCTTACTGAATCAATTATTTCTTACTGAATCATAAAAAATTCAATGTCAAGATATTAACAAAGTAAGCCTACAGTTGTATATAATAAAAAAAAACTAGAAGGTTTTCTGAATTTTCGTTTTTAAAATACAGAGCTTCAAAGTATGAACAAAACATATTTTTGCTAACAAAGTTTTAATTTTTCAAAAAATTAGAAATTTCAAATGGCGATATCTCATGAACCACAAAAGATTTTAAGCTGAAATTTTCAGGAATCTCTTTTCTTGTTGATATAAACCACCCAACAAGTTCCATCAAAATCTGAAGGGGTCCATGTTGGACCCTAGTTCACTTGGCATGGAATGACCCATTTTTGTGTCATAAGCAAGAGTTTGATTCCCACCAAGTCCCTGGTAGAACTGCGCTCAATGTGTTTCTTTACGCAGCGGCCTTGGTTGTCAAGGTTCATGTTTCGTAGTTATATATTTTTGAGAGAGTTATAACCGCAATAAGGTAGCCTCCTCATCTATTGTGGCGTTTTCAGCCATGGGGAGGTGAATTGACATATTAAAAAATAATAATAATAAATTAGACCTGCTTTATCTGCCAAGCTTGAGTCATTGTTGTAAGGTTGCATTTCTTTTTTTCTACAAATACAATCATGGTCTATGCTCAAACAAGCTATCGTCTCTATTACGATAAACCAAAACTGATTCTTGCTCCTTATTCAACAAGTTGTATCCTTTTACTGTATCTGTCCCTTCATGCTATAAAAACTTTTTAATTCAGTTTTTTCCCTTGCACATCAAAAAAACCTTATAAATTTTTTTCTAGCCCCGGCTATCAACCCTTGCTAAATCCTATAAGTTTAGCCAGGGTTCTGGTCATTTACTACTTGAAGAAATATGGAAAGAGATTTAAACATTACGTTTTTATGTGTTGCCTTAGATTAATTTTTTGTTGTTGTTGTTGTTGTTGTTGTTGTTGCCATTTGTTTTATCCAAACATTACATACTTTTAAGTTTTCAGCTTTTGAGTTATTCTATACTCTGCAAGTAAGTTTATATCTTTATGTAATGTTTAATAAGTTTATATCTTAATGTTTATAAGTTTCTTTATTCTATTTAGAAACATTAGAAAAATCAAATGGTAAGCAAAGTTCGACTGTATTACATTTCTGTTTTATAATGTTAGTTTAAACATTTCTTTATTATTTTTATTTTTTCGGCCTCAACAGCAACACCTTTTGCAGTTGAATCAGATAGTGCGTTTTGCATACTCACGTATATTTGGATGCTATGTGTATTGAAGCGTAAACATTCATTTTTTGATGTTTGTACAATATTTCATGACTGTTAAGTTTATGTTAATTTAAACATTAATTTTTTTTTTGCGTCCACAGAAGCACCATTGGCATCAGTATCAGTTAATCTGTTATCAGGTATGTGTTTTATATGTATTCAAACTTAAACATTACATTTTTTGATGATTGTATGTAGTTCCATGGTTGTTAAATGTATGTTAACTTAATCATTACATTTTTTTTTCCGCAGCAAATTCTTCTCTTGCAACAAAAAATTTAAGTGAATTGAGATGTTTATTAATTGTTGTATGCATAATTTATTTTGATATCTATGTATTCAAATTTATTTTTTTAGCATCGTGGGATGTGATAGATTTCTTCGATATTGCTCCTAGCACCCAAGCCCACTATCACAAAGCTTCTTCCGGTGGTGTCAATATGGGATTATTCTGTTTTATAATGTTAGTTTAAACATTTCTTTATTATTTTTATTTTTTTTCTTTTTTTTTCCCTTCCTTTAGATAAAGGAGACGAATGCGAAAAAGAGACGAAATTTTACTATTAATAATATATAGAGAAAATAAAAAGGTTAACAACACACTGGTGTTTTGCTTTGGAGTTTGAGTAAAACTTTTAAAATAAGAACAAAATTAATACAAAAAAACAAGATTTACTTAAGACTGCAAATGTTAAAAGTATTATTTCATGTTTCACTTCCACTTTTTTTTTTCACTTCCAGCAACATTTTCAATCACTAGAAATACAAGAAAGTATTTCGCAAGAAACCTATTGTTAACTTCCAGCGAAGTTTTATATCACTGGAAACCCAGTGAAGTTTTTGTTAGAATTCCAGTGAACTTCTAACGAAATCGTTTCCAGTAAACATAGCTAAAAACCCAGCGAACTCTGTGAATTTCCAGTGAATTTTGTTATTATTATTGCTAGTTTTTTTCCTCGTATGGGCAGGTTAAATTGTAGAGCTCCAACAATGTATTTAAAAAGGTCCACAACGTACCTGAAGGGGGGGGGGGGGGTACTAGTTAGCGATGTGTTGATTTGTTACAAGGGGAGGGGCTATCCATTATTTTGACGCTCCTTTTTTTAAGTTTTATCTAAAAATCTTTTCTATTGATTAAAAGAATGTCCAGCTTAAAACACTTGACCGTGACAAATAAAAGTTCTTGTCTTACCCGACAAGAAAATTTGATGCGCACTGCATGTAATAGCCACGCTCGATTTATGGGATGGCGTAGATGTGGGCCATGTATGATTATTGTATTATACGTGATATATGTATTATAAGGCTAATTAATAATTCAAACAATTATAAATGATTATAATAAATACATGACGTAAGAATTGTAGCCATATGTGGCTACCGCCTAAAGTTTAGAAACACCATAGACTCATACGGCCCGCATTAACGCCATAATTCGAGTGTGGCTATCATTTCATAACACGCGTGATGTACAATTTTGATGTGCATCAAAATTTCTTGGCAGGTATAAGTTTACGGCGTTACGAGTCAATGATATACCCGATATATAATCAAGTAGTAATTAATAATGTAAGTAAGCAATTAATAATGTAAGAAAGTAATTAATGATGTAATTGTTAAATAAAAATGCATATAATAATTATTAAGGGTGCTTATCCCCCCCTCCCTTCCCTCAAAGTTATTTTGACAGCTAGCAAGTATATAGGATTTTCAGGGTATTCATAGGAAAGGATATAATAAAAGTGTTGAAATTTTTTTTTTTTTTTTCAAATGTTAGTTGTTGCCATTGCCATATTTGGGAAGCTAATTTCCTAGGATTGGTAAGTTATTTTTCAATGAAACCTTTTGGCCTTATTTATTAATACTAGGTGTGTGCAATAAACAAAAAATTAAAAAAAAAATAAAAAAAAAAAATTAAAATATTATTACTGTTTAAGTTTTTAAAAATTCAACATTTTTCTATATTTTAAATATAAAATTGAACTTTAGACAAGCTTTTCACAATCAAAACTTTAATCAAATTTTTGATTTGCATGAAACGATGGATGTTGTGTGGAAATATTAGCTCAAAAGCTATAATAAAGCAAGAGATATTTCAAAATTCTACTTGGAAAAAATGCAATCTGAGAAAATAAGCAAAATGTAAAAAAAATTGTAAAAAGATGTAAAACATACATTTGTTAAAAGAAGTAGAACATTTTGTAAAAATATTTTTTTACAAAATGTAAAACATTTTCTAAAAAAACTTTTCAATTCTATAAAATAATAAAATCAATTTAAAAGATGCTTTGATTAATGGAAATTTATACAACATCTACATTATTTGTAACTTTAAATAAATTAACTAAACCACACGAAAAACATTTTTTGTTATAAAAACGTTGTATAACTAAAAATAAAAGAATACCATATCCACAGGGCCGCAATTATCAATAGGATCCCGCGATTATAGGGCCCTCAATATGTTGAAATTGTTGTGAAAATTAACTAAAAATGGAAATAAAACTATACAAATTTTTTTATATAATGCGTTACATAGTTGTCTTTTTCACACATTCTCAGTCCCATAATAAAATGTCCTAAAAACAGAAAATTTTTGTTATAAAAAGAACTCCAAAACATAAACCGTCCTAGGGGCCCCCAGAAGTGTAAATCCCCGTCCTAGGGGCCCCCAGAAGTGTAAATAGTTCTGCTTTTCAGGGTTTTTTCTCCACTTTGCTTTTTTTAAACACCTTTTTGTTTTATTTGTCCTCTAATTTGACAATGACGAAAAACTTTTTTTACTTTACCATGTGTTATTGAATTTTTTTATTCTTTTGTCATCAGAATTTTATCACATCCAAGATTAAAATAAAATCCTGGAAAAATTTTAAGTTTTTCAAAAGACTAAACTAGGTTCCAGTGGCTTGATGGCTTAGTTGGTTAGAGCGTCAAACGAAAAGTTTGTAAAGTAAAGTAAAACACGGATTGTTAAAAGATACGAGTTTGGGTAGTACTTCAGTACGCAAAAATGTTGGTTAATAACGGACGCTACTTTGAATTAGTCTTAATGACTACTTGTGGATGTTCCTATGCTTAGCCAACAATATCTTCGGATATGAGAAAATTGTATAGAAAAAATATGGCGTAAAAATTCAAATAAATAAATAAAAAAAAACAATAAAAGTTAATAACAGCTTTAGCTCCAATATTAAAGTTGGATACAGCATCATAGATGGTGAAAGAAAGTTGTTGTAAACCTACAAATGTTGATTTAGACAAACGCTCCCAAACCATATTATTAAATGACTCATTTTGATTTTGTGTTTTACCATGTAAGCACTTGTCAAGGAGTATATCAAATGTTAATTAATTTATAACTTTTTTAATTCGTAATGAAATATTTGTTGGCAAGTCTGGACCGTGCCTAAACTTATCAACTTCATTACTTGCCAGAGCATTCGATAACCACATCATCAATTAGTTTTTCAAGTCGGACAATTTACATGAAGATTGTTCATTTTATTAGATGCCGCATGGCAAAAACCATTTGTAATTCCTTTTTTCATGGCTTGTTTATCTAGTGAAAAACATGCAGTATGATAGCCAATTCATAGTTTTTCTGAATAATACTTTTTAGTTGTTCATAGTTGTTCACTTAATACTTTTGTTTCCTTTTTTAGTTTTTGTAAATGGGTTTGTTTTTTGCACATGTCCTATACATTCTCTCTTTTTAACTTTCATACCATTATATATATTTTCCAGGGCAATAAAATTTTTTGATTCGCCATATTTCTTGTATGCCTTATTTGTAGATCTTGTACACCTTATTTGTAGATCTTGCAAAAATAATTTTTATGCCTTCAGCTTCCATATTTGCTGCTAATTTAATAAAGTTTGCTGAACAATGGTGATTGAATTCCAAAAAAATTTTCTCCAATGAGTCGGTTATCTTATTAACTTATTTAAATTTTTTTCATCATCAACTTGATAATCAAGCTCTTCTTTATACACCAATAATTACTTTTATATTTATCCACTACTAAAAATGCCTAGAAAATTTTCATAAATAAAACACAATAATCACTAAATGAAATACAGAACAAAATTTAACTTGTAATAAAAGGTTAGACACACAATGTGTAGTGTATTTATGTGGTTGTATGGCAGTGTGGATAAGATGCTCACAAAGTTCATTTTTTAAGCTTTTTTAGACCTAAATGAAAGCAGTTTGAAAAATTAAAATTTCACAGACTCAGGGTAATCATGCATGATTATAGAACTTATAGAAGATTATAGAACTTATAGAAAAAAGGTATTGTAGATAAAAGTGGAGAGAAGAAAATAAAACCGTTACTATGGACATTGCTAAAAAGATTATTTTTTACTAAGTTCAAATAAACAAGAAATAGACATATTTATTTGCTAATTTCTTTTTAAAATTTTAATTCAAAATCAGGTTTCTCTTTAATTTTTACACTTAAAAGATTAAATCCAAAAATTTCATAAAAATTTATTTTTTTTGCTATTTTGACAGGGGTGAGCTTAAACAACAATAATAGTTAATAAGCATTAGCATAAATTAAAATTGATAACACTGGCCAACAAAAAAAATTTTTTTTTTGCTGCCGAGGATATTTTTACGAATTTATAGTATATCGGGTGTGCTGATTTCAGAAATGACATTAGTTTTCCACGATTGGCTCTAGTTCTTGAGATACAGGGTGTTCCAGATATATTCTTATACAAATATCTTCGTTCATGCATATTTTACAGTAAAATAGTTTTATTTCTTTTTAAAGGGCATACCTTTTTATATATATATATATATATATATATATATATATATATATATATATATATATATATATATATATATATATATATATATATATATATATATATATATATATATATATATATATATATATATATATATATATATATATATATATATATATATATATATATATATATATATACTTTTTCCTGTTTTTAGAACACAATGAGTTCTTCACGAAGAGGATGTTTGAATAACCCCAATGCATTCTGCCACATCTGTGGTGAATATTGCCAGGAGAGCCAAAGAAGAAATATTACTAACTTTGTGAAGCAAGCATATCTGGCATACTTTGGAATGAAACTCGGAGACCAAGATAAGTCTTGGGCTCCCCATATTGTATGTAAAACGTGTGTCGAAAATCTACGTCAGTGGAAAAATGGACAAAGAAAAGGTTTAAAATTTGGTGTGCCTATGGTATGGCGGGAGCAAAAGAATCTCGACAGTGACTGTTATTTTTGTTTGGTTAATGTGAAAGGTATCAATCGTTTCAAGAAACGTAAATTTGAGTATCCGGATTTGGAATCAGCAAGGCGACCTGTACCACACTCAGACGATGTCCCCATTCCAGTGTTCACTACACTCCCAGATCTAACAGTGTCTGATGAAGAAGATATGCAGAATTTGGTGTGCGAACATGCAGATAGTGGTAGTGAATATGAAGACAGTACTTCTAAACAGCAACAGTTCTCCCAGGAAGAGATCAATGATTTAGTACGAGACTTAAGTCTATCCAAGCAAGATTCTGAGCTTTTAGCATCTAGACTAAGTGAAAAGAACA